GACTGCCTACTGGGTGATCCGAACGTTTATAGTATTTGACCTATTAATCAAAATTAATCACTTAAGTACCACTGCGCCAATCTTAAGAATCTACGCGTCACTTAACGGGGTCAGCGATTATAAGACACAAGGTGGGACCATAGAACAAAAACTCTTCCGTAAGAGTACAAAATTGTCTCCGCTCGACTCTGGTAGGTTCAAAAGTCTTTCGGCAGATATAAGAAAATGCTGTTGCATGCACTTCCGATTCTATTAGGTAGCACTGCAATCGATAAATCCAGTTGACGATTAATATTAAAAAAGCGCTCATTCACGATAATAGAGAGTGTCATGCAATCACTGTTAAAGTGAGCTGGGTTGGAGGTATTTTCTACCACCGAAATCTCACAAAAGATATTCAGCATTTTCTGTCACAACACCAGAACCATTTCAAATCTCGCCACTTCATTTATACTTAGGTTTCCAAATTTAAAGCGCCGTTTACACTACCATGGGACTATGCAAAAGTAAGGAGCAAAATACTTCAGACATCATAACTTTGGTATGGTCAAGTATACTATTAACTTCCTTACTTCCGTCTTGGACGCATATGATGCAGGTTTAGAAAGTGACGTTTCTATAAAGATAAATATTGACATTACCGACCGAGGGCTTGTGGTATTAAAAAAACTAAACCGTGGAAAGGGGCAACGAAGCAAGGGAGACCTTCTCAAACACATGGAAGGGTACTCATCATTCAGCAGATGAAGAAAGCTTCACAAATCATAAAAGGGATATAGTTCCTAGTTGGTTACTCAGCCTATCCTTCTGAATTTCCGAAAGGAACTGACTTAAAAGAGTAGTCATCGTATGGCTCATTATGCGACTCATCGTATGATCTGATGACCGTGAAATTTCATCTTTTTCTTACCTTGATCAAATATTCAACCGATCATGTGTTTAAAATATATAAATATAACTTGCTTTTTCCTGGTAATATTGTATTCTAGCAGCTACAGGTCAGACTTGGCTTCCGATATTTACGCGGCTCAGTGAAGCGGAAGGTACCACGGGCGAGTGGGTGCAGCTAGCATATCGGTCGAGTTGTTCACTGCTCCAGTATTATTACAGCCACGCATAAGACCACTCGGTCATATCGACTGTCGACGCGATCACATCAGACGATGTCACATGAAAATTGGCGACACAGATCATAACAATTCCCGAATTAACAACTACATCTGAGTGATCGTAGAATACCGTGTCGTAGAGGACCTACAGCTGCACGAGGAATGAAAGGTTTAATCACGTTTTGTGTCATCCGCCTCACTGTTAATCTTATAGCTTCCCTTTCCTGATTTCAGTGTCAAATTTTCTGTCTGCTTTTCTGAATCACAGTTAAGAACGCGATTATTTGGTTACATACATTAAGAGAAAAAGCAGACCTAAAATCCTAGAAAGTCCTGCAAATTGTCTCTTGTGGCGCACCCCACATAGTAATTGTAGGTTATTATTTTGATATCCTATTAAACGTGTATGCCACCAATAAATTTAGAAAACTAATGAATTAATGAAAAACTGAGGAAGGTTCCCCTCCAAACTCCTCTGGTGCACATATTCTGCGTGCTTTGGCTTATGTTAATTTACGGGGGTTAGTTTTTACCTTGGTTCCTAACTGCATATGTAATGAAAATGACCTATAATGTATTTCCACTGAAACAGTAAAGTGTCTATCCATATCGAATCTGCTGAAGTGATGCTTCAAACATTTCAAGTAGTATATAGCTTCTTCTTCTTGTATTTATCTTTTAAATATACTTCCAATAATGTATTATTCATAACTGCACTTTATACCACTTTGCAGCTGCGCAGAATTTTCTTCTCTTCCCGAAATAGCGTTCAATCACGTGGCGGCATAGCACTTACCCAGATATACGCTGTTCACTGGTTGACCATAACTATCAGCAGGAAACACAGCGAAGTTTGGGTTGTCGTTCAACTTTGACGGTGACATTAGCAAAATCGTTTACAATTTAACATTTATAAGAACCTGCTCTAATTGCTTGTACAATAATTGAACAAGTGAAACTTTTGAAAAAGTATTAATTCATGATACGTCAGGATTGTAATTTATAACATTACTGATCGTGCCTGTAGAAATGGCATGCATTTCTTGTAAACTTACCCGTTTATACGAAATATAAATTATTATTATCAACAAACTAACCGACGGCAAGAGTAAACAATAGACGTCAAATTCAAATGATCTTGGCTCGGCCAGATGCAACCACTTTATATGAGGATGTCTGTACAAGTTATAAGTCGTACATAAGACGCTTTCATCTCGAAATCAAAGCACTCCCTTAATAATATATTGCGTATCTGCTACAGCTGGAGAAATAGATAATACATTGGTTTGATATGCCTATAACCACTTCCATGATTGGCTGAGACCAGTTTCTGCAGCACTTTAGACATATATACCCTACATGATTCACTTTTATAACATAGATATCGTAGATATACTTCTTCGTAATTTAAGTACCACTTTTCACCTAGAAGAATCTCATTGTCTGTTTCAAAGTTGTTTGAAGTTGGTGTCTATTCTACACCGTTGCCTAATCGACTTCTTACTAAGGCAAGATTACAGAAGTTACCTAACATGCGCCAAAATTAAATACCACGTGCCTTTAATTCAATTTTCAACGGTGCTGGCTTGGAATCGCATAATGACAAATCTTACCGCATATCAAACTTGCCTCTCTATCATTTCAAAATACTTTTATAGGTAGGACACAGGCAATCAGTTATGATTTGAATTTCCTCAGACAGCTGATTTTGAATCCTGGGTCCAGGTGAACGCTGTAGTCGCATCAGATGTTACGCTTTGGCTGTTTTAAGTGTGTCTTATCATTTTTATGACGTTTGCTACATTAAGCGCAAAAACACATCAAGATAGCCTAAACCCTCCCTGGAATAGGAATATGTACACTACTTCTGCCGCCACGATAACTGAAATTCAGTCTATTGGGTATATGGGCTCAGGACGATTCAGTTAATCAGAATACCTCACAGGTCCAGCCAAGCGGTATTCCGAAGAAAGTAAAGACTTTGCAAAAGAAAGCCAGATATAATGGCTAAAGTGATTTGATAAAAAATCAATAAAGTCGGCAGTAATTTGGATGAAAAATTTGACTACTTCCTGTACATACTAAGGCGACTCGCTGCCAGTGTTTCTCCCTATATCTTCTAAAATCTATGTCTGATTATGTCACCCATGCTCATTAAAGCACTAAGGTATGTCTTATTTCGACATCTTTTGTCATATTTAAGGTTAGCCTGTTTCTCTAGATGGGACCCTACTGATATCTATTTCGCTAACGCCTCATGCGCACGGTCACAGATTGATCTAATTCGCTGAGAATAATAAAACAGAAGAAAGTGGAACTCGCCCAAAGACAGATGCTGTCGCACAAATTCAGAAATTTGTTTTCTAGAGTATTATTTACACAGGCATCCCAAACTGCCAACCGAGCAGAAGAGTGGAAGGCGGGAATGGCAAGTGACAACATTGCGATCTTCTAAAAAGACGGCCGTAGATAAAAAAGACTCAGTGATAGTTACATGATGACATTTTAAACAGTTTTACGCACAGGTGGATGAAAATTAGTTCGCGTTTTCTGTGGCGATGAAACGTTAGCGGTGACGCTCACGGAAAAGTTGATGGATCATAGGTCCACTAAGTCGAATGAAAATATGTCGAAAATTAGGTTATCATTGTTGGCACTCTGGAGATAAGGCAGTTATGCAATACAGTAATCCTTGAGCCCCAAATACTCTTCGAAGTAAAATTTCCCTCAATGCGGGGGTTTGAGCCTCAGAGTTAAAAAACTTTACACTGTCCCTTTCAGAACTTTATTATGATAACACTTATTAAGGCTGTTCAGGAGTGCGTGAATGAATAGTCGATTAATTTGCTACCACCTTCAGTCTTGAACTGCCTCGGCCAAAATCAGAGATGCTGCACTGCTTAGATTACTGTATGGTCGGTAGGATGCAACAGCCAGTACAAAACGCTAGCAATGACCTTGAGACCCTTATAATCATATGAATACCATCTTGGGTACTGTTGCAGTTCCAAAATTCCCTATTAAGATAAGTTTAGTGGCTTAAATGGAAGGCGATTACCCTTCTAAGGCAATGCGTGGCTTTAAGAAAAGTTTTCTTCTAAACAACTCCAAAAAGGGATGAGATAAACATGGGTACCGAATTTATAATTATTTACATATGCTAGAAGCCGTGTACCACTGGGTATATATGAGTCTGAGTGTGACAAATAATTCCGGATCAGAAAAAATTTAGGGCAGGATGGGGGACACTACTTTGTATTTCTGAGCAATCACTGCAAATTTTAAAAATGCGCTTAATAAGACAGAACACCAGGTTGGTCATGGAGTTTGGACTCAAAAGAATCAATGTTAAAATCAAAAGGGTTTTGTTGGTGGAGTATGGTGTGTCCTAATTCGCCTTTTTAGTACAGAGCAGATTCGAAGGGATTGCTGAGTATTCTGTGGTTTCATTGGAGGCCACCGTCAAAATCTAAAGACAACTTAATTGGTGGGGCAGATATTATCTAAAAGCCAATGCAGCTAAAGGGCGTACTCCTGCCTTCAAAGTAAACGGTCAGCAGTATATTCAAAATCAAGGAGGCTGTGATTTAATGGTGTAGGGGTCTATTTAATATGGAATGAACTTAAAATTTGGTTTCCTTCTTATCAAACTCTGGACAACTAACAGAATTCGCCTTGTCCTCGCTTCGAAAGAGGGGCAGGAGATTACGAAATATTTTTGAGTTTTTAAGTCGAGGACCTACCGTCAGAGGTAGACATGCACGTATTCATTTAGATTATTCAAAAATAAGTTTCGCAGAGGAACATATGAGAAATAAAATTTCTTACTAGCCTGAGGTTTATTATTTTGCAGTCAGGAGTTCTGAAATGTCCTTCGGTATTTCCTGAGGCAAATTTACTGCGCGTATTTCTATGGTAGCGCTACAATTATGGGTGAGCTAAGTTGGGGAGTTGAGCTATGGGTACGTACGTTCTCAATGGATTTTAAATCCTTTGTAGCATTTATTTTGAATGGTTTTGTTTCATTACTTTCATTTGGAAGTCCTCTCGGATTTATTTTGACTACTTTATCTGAATTCGTCGAATCGTAAAGGAAGTCTTATGTAGCTGAGTTTTTTTGTTTCAGCAAATGTCAGTGTTAAGGTGGTAGTGTAACCAGAAGGGTTTTTTACTTTAAACTGCTATTGGGTATCGTGAGAAAAATGTTTATAATAGTTATCTCGTAGACTATCCTAGAAAGTTTTATAAGCGACTTATTATATGTGGTTTAATCTGTATGACTAATGTGATGTGCATTTTAAAAATGCAGTTGGTTTCCATTGAGGGCTTCTGGGACGAATTTTTTAGTGTATAGCATAGCGACTCAAGCCGACCACCATCAAAATGGTTCGGGCAACCAGATACCTGATGAGCGTCAAGACGCACGAAACCTTGGTTGAAGGCTCCCTGCCGGTTGCCTCTTACCATCCATCAACATTTCAAAGGTGAGTCTATTCGAAAAGCGTGCAAACTGAACTGAGTGCAAGGATCGTAATGCAGATTTTACCCAGATATAGTATTTACGTTTTCACTTGATAATAGGCCTATAGGAAGGAATGAAATATGCATATATGAGGGAGTTATGGTATTACAGAGGTGTCCCATTGATTTTTATGGAGTGGTTTTAAGACATGTTGCGAAACTGGTTTGATCTAATAATAGGTATTCCTGTGGGGAACTGGGAGACATTCTTAGAACACATAAGGGGTCATTACTCTGTTTTTTACTATTTTTTTTCTTGTAAACAGTTTTCCCAGACTAAAAGTATTTACTATGGGCTCGTCTGATTGGTTGACCATGGCCATTACAGTGGTTGTTCGCTTGGGTAGAAATGAATTAGTACGTTTATGATTGGGAGTCCATTTGTTTTCGAGCGCAATTTATAGCCAGGACCTGGACTGGTGCAAAGTTGTGACTGCAATTGTAAAAACTAACTGAATAGTAGATTGTTAGCTAATCAGCGTAACTGTGTAATAATTGAACTTACTGAGAGAAGCTATGTGTCGATATCTCTCAGTAGTTTCAGTGAAAATAGTTAACAGATGAAGTAACTTGGACAATCAACAAAATACGAAGAGGAAAGAATCAATCAATGTGTAAATTGCCTAGAAGAGGTCCATAAATTGAATAGTATAGTGGCGTTCAGTCACATGTTGGAGTGCAGTGGCCAGATTGTGCCTCTTGAAGATGCTCTTGCGCACATACTAGTGTTCAGCTTATTTCTTGTCATCGTGGTCGCATTCGACTCCATCTTGGGGTGTTTTGGAGGTATCTTCTTATAAATACAGAAATAAAAATATGCCAGTCATACATGTAACTATATAGCGAGCTTCTAGAGATTTGTCGTCTGAAGTGATGATAACCAGTGGTGTCTTCCAGGGAATTTATTACCGTATTAATAGATATTAGTCCGTTTGATTTCAACGGTGTAGAAACTGACTGGCCAGAAACGATGTAGTTGACTTAGAGCAAGCAAACGGTACATGATATATGCAAACTCTGACCAAACTAAGTCTCATGGGCACAGGAGCATATGGTTTGCTCCTATGTAGTGTAAGGTGATGCTACTAAACAAAGCACAAACTCCTAGTTAAACATGTGAACCATTTCAACTATTTTGGTAAGCACCATAGTATAGTAGTTGCTGATGAGAATTCATTACCTATACAAAAGATCATTTGTCATTTATCAACCTGAGTCACCTTTGGTGTCAAGTAGATACCAAAGGATGTTAGGAAACTGCCTCTGAGATTAAAAGGTGTTTACGGATCAGTCTGACTGTTGGTTCGTTTGCTTGGTTACTCCTGCAAGATGAGACTACATGGTAAGTTGTATTCAAATTAGGCGGTGCACTAGAATGACAGGACTGACTAACTGGTTTTAACGTAGAACTTTACACTGATGTTCAGCAGTTCAAGTCGCCACACTCCATGTAGCACACAAAGCCAGAGAAGAAAGTAAAAAGAAATGCAAAATAGAGACAGTAAACAGATATATGAGGCAAAAAGAATAGTAATATCAAAGAAGAGTATAGTTTCATTGGAAATTTTCAGTCACAAGGAGTAGATGCATCTGCACCAGCCATTGAGAACGATTTTGAGCCGTATCACCAATTGTCTCCAGCCGATGGTGTTCACCACCGTCCCGAGGACCCCGACTAGTCAGGAAGTCTACACCTTCCTACGTGACTGGCTTAAACTAACTGTTTTGGGCTTCATTGACTGATGAAGCTATGTTTTGGTTTGACTACCACTGGCTCTTTTCCAACCTGATCCTATGTCAGCTAACATTGCCCATCGGTCGAGGAAGGCGATGCCTAGGCATGAGTAACACATGTCCTAACCATCTCAATCGATGTAACTTCACAGCCTCGTCGGTTGATTTCTCCTCCTTACCTAGCACTAGGCAGACACCTAACCTCAATATTGCTCACCCTATTAGACCACTTCACAAGGAAGATAAAAAGCAGGCACCTATGATCAAGGACAGCTAGCCACCCTTTTCATGTCCTCCACTCTCCATGGCCAGGTCTTACAGCCATAAAGAAGGATGGAGTGGATTGCTGAGCAGTAAACACAACCTTTGGTCGATAGGCAGCCGGATATCACGTCTACTAAGCGAGAGAGGGCATAAACTAGCATATGCGAAACAAGCCTTTTGTGTCCGTGCTGAGATTTCGTCAGCGATCGACCCTCTGGCGTTGACTGATGCAACTTCCCAAATAAGTGAAGCGGTCAACGAGCTCTACCACTTCACTCCTTATTTCTAAGCTAGGAGTCAATGTAGTCCAGTCAGTGCTGTAGCATCATCTTACATTTGGCGGGAGCGAATCGCATGCCAAACATTCGCAGATTGCAGCTCAAGGTGTTCAGAAGACTGCATTTTGTCAGCGTCTTCACCCACGTGGGAGGACTATATCATCTGCATATTCTAAGTCAACGAGATTATTCTCTGGTAACAAGTCATTCCCTGAGTCTCTGAAGTGAGTTCGGGTTAAGTCCATTAGTACATCGATTTTGAAATTGACAATTTTCAGGTAACCATAAAACTAGTGCATTTATTCATAAAAAATTGAATTGTTGTATTGTTCCAATTTCAGGATCAAGTAGAAAATCTTTTCAGACATGAAAGTGATCAAATTGGAGTCACTGAATCTTATTTCAAACTCCTTTCTGATGTTCAAAAATTACAGCATGAATTTGGAAAAAAGCTCAGGTAGGATATTTCCTGACTAGCATTTTCACTTTTTCTGTACAGAAAGACTGTCTCGATATATTTGCCCAGAAAGAAGCCAGATGTTGATGAACTGTCCTCCGTGTTAACATACTCAAGTATAGTGCCACAAATTCTTGAAATGGGTGTTGCACACGAAGCTAGTTCTAAAAAGCTCAATGAATCAGTTATCAACCAATTGAAAGCCCAGGTCGAGAACGAAAAAAGGGCTTTGGATAAACAACGTTCGCATTGGTTAAAGTTAAATGGAACAATCGAACAGTCACGTAAGCAGTTAGAGTTGAGTTGGCAAAAGTACGTGAGCAATTTCAAAGAAAAACAGAAAGCATACGAGGTTTCAGAGAAAGCCAAAAATGATATTCAGTTGGCACGAATTGATCAGCAGAAAGTGAGTTGATTATAATGCACCTCCTACTTCAAAAATATGCTGTATTGTCGAATCTACCTCCAACTAGTTCTAAGTACAGAAAGTATGCTGACTAATGAGGCAATTTCTAGTTTTGTGAAATACTAGCCATTTCTGTAGTGACGTGTGTACTTTTATTATGTAAAGATCAGTAACATGTCGTTTACATAACTTGTAAAACGCTTTTGCCAATCGTTTTCATTAGATAGGGTTATTTGCTTCTGATTATTATTTCGAGATCTTATGCGTTGAGTGTAAGTTGGACTCAGTAGCGACACAACTTTGAACACTAAGGTGTGCCTTAAATTTATGGTGTAAAGTTCTGCATTAATATCTTCTGGTTTTTAAATCGGAAGTCTAACGAGTAAGATTTCTAACCATATACCGAAAATCAGGGTGATATGTTCCAACCTAGGTCACCTCCGGCGCCGTCCATATTTTACTCTGGCCGCCAAAAGTTTGGCTTACAACTCTTCAGTGCGCGGAATTTTTCTTTATATTTGTGATAGCTTGCCTCCAAAATGAGCGTGTGTAGCGACATTGCGCGTTCTGTCATCGATGCATCTATGGAATCACTTAAATTCAATGGCATCGCTGTGAGATTGATCCTGATCGCCGACGGTGTATTTGTACATGAAGAAAGTAGTCTTTCAACTTGTAATCATCTCAAGACAATGGTTTTGGTGGATTGGATATATGCTACGAATATCGTACCTGTAGTTTCCATACTGTTCACCTTTTACTAACCATGGAACTGGATAGAACGATCAGGGAGGAGATCAGCCTATGACGTAACTTTGTGGGAATAAAGGATATTTGTTTTGTTTGGGCATATATTCGTGCATCACGACTTCCTGGGTGGAGCCCGTAAGATCGCATGGTTTGAGACGTTATCGACTGTAAATCAGAATAGGAGTCACTGGCGAAGATATACCGCAATTCGTTCATATTTTCTTTTGGGGAAAGTAATATGAAGCAATAATCACCCCTTTAGATGCTTTTGTTAAGTATACCTAGCTATTTCTATCCTATCATTCTTCAACAATTTCTCTTTCGTGTACTGCTGTTTTCTCTTGTGTTGCCCTATTCCTTGTGTCCATCTTTTTTGTTTTGAATTAAATGCCTCTACGCTCAAGGATATGGCCCATGTAACGTCCCAATCTTTTTGAATTTTTACTGAAAGCAATTTCATTTACTAGGCATTTGGCAGCAATAGACTTACTTTCTTAGAATATTGGTCCTATAAAGTGATATGAAATAAATAAATATAATTGAATATGTCTTTTACTTCGTCAGAATAACCAAGCTTCTCTAATCAAGCTGACCCTTAACTAGCATTTAAATATACAGAACTAAATAATTTTAATGCAATGTCAGTTGTGGGCTGATTTCACTGTACAAAAGAATCTATCCTAAACTCATTAGGATTAAATAAAATTATTATAATTGTAACCTTTCTGCGTGTACGTCGGGAAAGACGTTCGTGGTTTGTTGTAGCATACTGTTATATTGTCAGTGAATCCTTTCAAATGATTTACTCAACCTCCATTGATCTTCAAAATAGACGATACCTTCAAGCACATAAGCTTATAGAATTCATTATTCAACTACCAACCATTAAGTGACAAGTTCAACCTTTTCCTCATTGGCCTTAAAACAAAAAATGTTGTTTTTAATACCATCCTGAACACCTTTCAAGGTTGCACAGAGATGTATGTGAAGAAATATCATACAGTGTTCAGCTAGTATAGAGTTACTAGTTCCCTAAATGGAACATCTTATATTTGTCACTCTTCACTTGATATTTTGAAATGAGTTTGTATTATTTTTGGGAGCTTGGGTATTGAACACTATTGGTCAGGCTGATACTTTCGGGGTCATCAAGATGTTTACTTGAGTATATTTATCAAAGATTTACATCATTAAGTTAAAACTATCTGGAAATTGCGTACACTGTCTTGTGCTTTGGTTTTTCTAATCCTTAACTGTTTACCGCTATCCTTAAACAACTCTAGAGTCAAATCATAAGATCTTGCTATTTCGCGTGGTTTTAAATTGAAGATATTTATTACAATTTCTTCTATGATTTGACATATATATTCTACTTAAGCTACAGTTGTATTAGAGCTAAGTATACCGCGACTGTAGGCCAACTGGACTGCTCCTCGAGGTGTTTTTTGCAAAATTCTAGCCTTTGTGCACGGAAAGTTGCGTCTTCCTCGAGATGGCTTTGCTTGCCATTATTAGAATGGGGTTTTACTGGTGGCATCTGTTATCTGATTTGGTATGGAATTGATTTGACTGCGTGATTTTAAGAGACGAGAAATGATGTTTTACTGTTTTAAGTTGTAAGGAATGTTCTTAAAATCAAGAGAATTTGAAGGGATTGTTTTAGGAAATACTAGTCGCAGTAGGAAAAGATGTAGATATTTGAAGAGAAAAGATAAGGGGAGCACATGATTGATTAATGAGTTTTACGTGTTTATAAATTCGTCTTGGCCATTAATATGCATCCGGCCTGCCCACACTGGTGGAATCGATTTCTCTTTTGAGTACTTGAAATAAAAATAATGAGTTTCTCATTGCTTAGAGGATGTCCACTTGTGACCAATTACATTCAAACTATTTGGAGGTAGTAGAATTTGTAGTGTTAAGCCTGTACAAAAAATCTGACACTTGTCTAGGCACGGCTATTAGTTGAGATATACAAGTTTCTAAACAGACCTTATCTAACCTTTTCTCTCTAGATTAAATAGAAAGCACTACCGGCTTGCTAATCGTATGACAAGAAACATCTTACTGTTAACATACTTCTCCGTCGTCAGTAAAACTCCATCTTCAAGCTGCATATTTGCAAGTTTTGGGTGATCTTATTTCATCATGTAATTCACATCAAGGAATTGAAGCAATGCTATTCTTGGATGCTGAATTTATCTCTGATTTTCTAAAGTCTGTTTTATTTACATACATACGAACAACATTACTTACTGGCTGGGTAAAATTATGCATAAGATGTTGACTTCTGGGTATTGCCACAAACAGCTTTGATACTGAAACCGTAGCGTAATGTAGGTACGTAAGCGGTATTCAAGTAATATTAAGTTTTATTAGTATCTCTATTGTAACTCGCATTTACCATGTCTCACTGATGCAGTGGAATGTTTTTCTTATTTTGATGATTTGCATATAGTTTGATGCTCTTTACCAAAGCAAACTGCAATCCTTCGATCAAACTAGTCGAAATTATGCTGATGAGTTGGCCAAGTACAATACAGCAAATCGACGCCATTTCACAACTGACATAGTGGCTTTTGTAGATGATATGGAGTGTTCAAGTCGTTTGAGAAATGAACGTATTCGTGAACTGTTGACAATGGTTACACGTATAAATGAAGAAACAATATCCAAACTTACAAATTGTAATCGGTTAATTTCGGAGGCTGTCTCTGCTCTTGATTCTTCACATGTGAGTTTTAACCTATTTTATAATTTGATGTCAGCATGTTTTTTGTGATGACCACGAATGATCAGACGTCTTATAATGATACAGTTTTATATGAACACCCGCCTCAAATGACTACATTGGTTGCTTTATAAAGTCTTTGAAGTATTTACTGGTTCGATGGAAATGGTTTTCACTGGGGTTATTAGGTTCTGTCAACTCGATGATGTATTTTATACAGGATTTAGGACATGGTAGAAACGACAGTGTGATCTTCCTCTATTGAATTTTTATCAAGAAAACGAGTTATATTTCATTAAAGGGAATTGTTCAATTCATAACTTCCTTTTCAACTCAGATTTTCTTGTGCGTCGGTGGCACAGCGGTTGGGATGCTCGCCGACCATGCACATGGTTCGGGGTTCGATCCCCGACCGACGCACTTCTTTACCTCGCTAAGCCAGTAATAAGAAAAGCTGGTAAAGAGGTAAGGTAAAAGTAAACACTGCTACAGAAACTCCAAGTCTCTAGCTTGAAGCCTTATGTTCCGCTGCGAACGTGAAGCAATAAAAAAGTGCTGTCAGATATGCCTTAGTCATACTGTCCTTTCTGTTTATATTCCATCAGTTATGTCACTTAATTTCTTCACTTATAACAGGCAACTCTTAGTCCTTTTAATGACTTTAGTTTTCTTTGACATCCTGTTATTCTTAACACAAATACACTTCATTGAATTTGGCGATGACAGGCCTTTCAAATCCGTAAAATAAATCAGTGTAATAATATTAACTTGATGGGATAATAAGATAAAAGAAAGATGTACCACTAAGCAGAGTTAAATAGAACACTTCAAATATTTGCAAGGCAATGCTAGTCTTTATTAGTGCTCTCAGATCTCTTGTTTCAGTAATACAGTTTATACTTCCAAATAATTCTTACGAATAGTAATGATTCTTATGAAGTGAAGTGGTAGAGCACGTTGACCGCTTCACTTATTTGGGAAGTACCATCAGCCCCAATGGGTTGATCTCTGACGAAATCTCAGTACGAATACAGGGGGCTAGTTTCGCATATGCCAGTTTACGCCGTCTCTGGCGTAGACGTGATATCCGACTATCGACCAAAGGGCGTGTGTACTGCTCATCAGTCCGCTCCGTCCTCCTTTATAGCTGTGAGACCTGGTCATTGAGAGCGGAAGACATGAAAAGACTAGCTGTCTTTGATCATAGGTGTCTGCGTTCTATCTCCCGTGTGAAGTGGTATAATAAGGTGAGCAATATTGAGGTTAGGCGTCGAGTGCTAGGTAAGGCGGGGAAATCAGTCGACGGGACTGTGAAATTACATCAACTGCAATGGTTAGGACATGTGTTACGCATGCATTCCTAGTCATCGCCTTCCTCGATCGATGGGCAATGTTAGCTGACATAGGATCAGGTTGGAAAAGTCAGTGGTAGTCAAACCAAAACATAGCTTCGTCAGTCAGTGAAGCCCAAAACAGTTAGTTTAAGCCAGTCACGTAAGAAGGTGTAGACTTCCTGACTGGTCGGGGTCCTTGAGACGGCGGTGGTGAGCACCAATGGCTGGAGACAATTGGTTATATGGCTCAAAATCGTTCTCAATGGCTGGCGCAGACGCATCCACTCCTTGTGACTTATGATTTCCAATTAAACTGTCTTGTTCTTCGTTATTACTATACCTTTGTCTAACACCTCTGTTTACTGTCTATGCATTTCTCCTACTTTCTTCTCTTCCTTTGTGTGCTACATGGAATGTGACGACTCGAACTGCCGCACATAGGTGCAAAGTTCCATGTCGAAAACCGACCGACCAACCGATTCCTACGATGATGGATTTGTTCAGTCACTGGATGTATATTTTCAGTGGAGTGTAATTACCGAAAAAACAACAATATCGAATATTCGTTAGGAGGATAGCCGACAGTGTAGTGTGTTAGCAAAGCAATTTCTTTACGGGTGTGGGGTTAGCTAACATTAAAATGACCAGGTCAAAGTTCCTCATTCACATATAATTCTCGAAATTGGTTGGGATGTTTCCGTTGGCTGTTTTTGTTCACACATACATATTCATGTGCAGAATGTTTTTCATAGTTCGATCAAATATCTATTGCTTAGTCCGCAAAAAGATGTATAATTCCTGGGATTGTGATTACTTCAGCATATTCTACTACAACACTGCTGTCAAGTATCTTTCTTATTAATGAAATGAGTTTCTGATTTCATACAAGAGGTTGACTCATCACTGTTTCGCTTCATGAAGTACACACTTTATTGTTTCTTGAGATTGCATAAAAAGGCCCCTTAGTACCTGGGCGACATACATTAAATGAAACATTGTCTAATGATTCACTCATTACACTATCATATCTCGCTGAGTAACATTCATAAAGGAAACTTAATTATTGTTTTTAGAACGAAAATAAACTTGAAATTGTGAAGGATAAAGTCAAAATGTTCTTAACTACGTTAAATGCTAATAACCATAGGGTGGTGTGTGCTACTACTGATAAATCTTATCAGTAGCATATGAAGAGACGTTCATCGGCATTAAAAACATCAAATAAAAGGGAGATAGATTTGATGATGTCAGACAAAGCAAATGATACAGCGTTGCAGAGATACACGGGAGACGTGAAAGGAACACAAAAACAACAATTTGAAGGCCAGAAGTAGCACAACACGGAAGATCATCTATGCAAATGGTGCTGCGTTGAAGATAAGGTGTAGATAATTTCGCTACATTAAGATACCAAATTCCAAATAAATAATCCTTTGCCAAGTCTTTCGTCTTCTACCGTCACAACAGTATTTAGGGTACCTGGTTAATTGTACAGCGTTAACACTTGGATAGTGTTCATGAAATTCAGCATAGTATATGCTGTTTAAAGTAATGAGTAACTATAGATTAATATGTCTGAGTAAGAATATATGAAAAGGTTGATTGTTTTTGATCATAGATGTCTACGATCTCTTTCTCACGTTAGGTGGTATAATAAGGTAAGTAATGTTGACGTTAGGCGTAGAATGTTGGGCAAATAGGGAAAATCAATTGACGAGGCTATAAAGTTACATAGATTGAGATGGCTAGGTCACGTGCTGCGCATGCCTAACCATCGCCTCCCCCGAGGAGCATTACTAGCTGATATAGGTGCAGGTTGGAAAAGAGTAAGTGGTGGCCAAACTAAAACATGGCATCAATCCATTAAATCCTTGACAGTTAAACTGAGTCAGGTAGGGAGATGCAGACTTCCAGGTTGGGGCCCTCAGGACTCTAAGAATCAATGGCTGGAGACAATAGGCGACATGGCTAAAAATCGTTGTCAGTGGCGCAGATGTATTCAGTCTCTGTAATCTTTTATATTCCTTTCTACCATTACTCATTCTGTTTCACTCTTATACTTGTCAAAACTCTATTGATTCTCTTCACTCATTTTCTTGTCTACCTTTGTGTGCTATTTGGAACGTGGTAACTCGAACTGCTGCACTTCGGTGCCAAGTTCTATGCTGAATCCAGCCAGCCAGCCATGTTTGAGTAAATTTTATTGTAATTTTTAAAACTTATTTTTCAGCTGTTCAGGTGCCTGTGCTAAGTAAAATGTGCATGGATTGTATAAAGTTCTTTGCATGAATGAACCGTATTGCCTTATAAATTCATGCAACTTAAATATTCTTACAAGTGCAATATTTTTTTTCTTCTTCACAATAGGATGCAGCTGAGGTAATAAAACGATTGCATACAGATGAACAACCTCCAGCTGATTTACCATTCCTTGACTTGGATAAATGTCCTCCAGGTATTTTAGACGGTCCTACATCCGATTTAGGAGCTTTAATTCTCGGTGTTGAGTCTGCAGCTAGTTCAAACCAGTTAAGTAATTCAGGAAGTGCTGTTTCAATTCCAAGCAGTGGAATGATGAGTGGTTTCATTCGTTCTGCTCACAAAAATTCAAAAGATGAATACCCCAGTTTACGTTCACCATTCATATGTGGTATTAGTATTAAAAGTATTAAAGTAAGTTTGTAAGTAACCATTTTTGGTTTTTCTAATAATTTATGTGTATAAAGTCAGGGTTCACTTTGTAATGTGTATCCTATTGTTTGAGTTGATGAGGAAATTTTTTTTGACACAAAAGATACAATAAGAGGTTGATTTGTTCTTAGAATGTTTTCCTCTTTTTGTGCTTGAGTTCGGTTCAAAGTGGTATCGTTTAGAAGTTTGACTTAAAATCAGTGTTAGCTTTCGTAAAAGAGATATACACATCCCCGTCTGTCGTTTCGTAAAAACCAATTAACTTCTCGGATAATAATGTCATACACTTTTTGTACATACAAGATATTTTCAAAATGTGTAATAAATAAACCAAATTGGCTGCATCTCAATCTCAAGGAATCCTTCGAAGTGAGGACAGGAGTAAGACAGGGATGCCTATTATCGCCAATGATTTTCCTGATTACAGTAGACTGGATAATGCGACAAACAGCGGGCAATGAGGAAACGGGCATAAAATGAACTCAAGCAAAAAACTTGGAGGATTTGGACTTCACCGATGATATATGTCTGATTTCCCACAAACTGGAAGATATACAAGCGAAAAGCAACAAGTTGGCAGAAGAATCATCAAAGATAGGACTTCAGGTGAACATAGAGGAAACAGAGGTGATGAAAATTCCTGGGCAACACCACCAACAGAAACACTAACAACAGACAACGATCAGCATAAATGGGAGGAACCTGAAAGAAACAATCTCCTTCATCTACCTACCTGGGAAGCATCGTTTAAACTACAGGCGGAACTGACGAGGATATCAAAGCAAGAATCGGAAAAGTAAGACAAGCTTTCACTACTCTCAAGTCTGTGTGGAAGTCAACAACACTCAGCATCAAAACTAAGATCCGGATTTTCAACTCGAATATGAAGTCAGTACTACTATACGGATCAGAGACTTGCACTGCGCGTCATAAAGAGCATCTCAAACAAACTACAGACCTTCATTAACAGTTATCTTCGCTCAATACTCAAGATCAGATGGCAGGGCAGAAAAGATCAGCAACAGGGATCTCTGGGAGCGAACCAACAAGCAGGAACCGATTGTGAAACAAATAGGCAGGAATAAATGGAGATGGATTGGCCATACTCTGAGGAAACCATCAAGTGACATCACTAGACAAGCCCTCGAGTGGAACCCGAAAGGGAAGCGGCCAGTTGGTCGTCAGTGCAAGGGTGGGTGACTTGGAGGAGGTCATGTGAAGAGGAGATGAAAACGTGTGGGCAGACTTGGAGCCAGATGAAGACTCTAGCAGAGAACCGAACGCAATGGAGACGCACGGCTGAAGCCCTATGTTCCTCTAGGAATTAAAGGAAACAATAATTATAATAATTATTAATTACAGAGAACTGTAGTTTAGAATGACAATGATAGCTATCTGGTTCTGCCTTAGTGGGGTGTCAGTTACTTTTAGTCGTCTCCGTGGTTTTTCATTATCTCACTGCTGAACTCTTACTACTTTTATGGTAGAAGTGATTGCCAAGTTCTTCTGTATCTTTCTCCATCTTATTGTCTTCATTCACTTCTGTATATTCTCAGAACATAGTTAAAATTTCTTTTCTTGTTTAAACTCTCATAAATTTCACCTTCTTTCCTCATATAGTGTTGTAGTAAGTAGTACACGTGAATCGTCTGATTCTGATGTGATCGATTGTATCTGATGATGCTTATTGTTAAGTCACCATGCTAATTATTAGCGCATTTTTTGAAATTCAGATAATTAGTCATAGAATACACACACATATTTTTCTTTTTTTTAATAATTAAAATCAGATTAGTGGGGGTAGACTGAATTTATACGATTGTGTGGTAAACAAAAAAAAAATAATAAGAAAAAGAACGCTAATAAATTCCTAGAAGTATACATTATCAAATTACGATACATTCTATTTTTAGTTTAAGTTCACAAACAAAATTTTTGTTTCAAGAAGTCTACTGAAAATTGATGGTGCTAATCAATCAATATTCATCTGTGTGAAACAGTGTAAAAATTATCTGGTCATTGATTTCTTTTTCACTCTGGTCATCATCAGGTAGTTTTGACTTAGAGGTTGTTGCAGCTTTCTTCGTCTTTTTCCCCAATATTAATGGGATTTCCCTTCTCGCTAAGATGTGAATTGAAGCATTTTCAGCTGTTGAAACCCCCCCTGTATAGCAGCTGGTGAGGATTTCAAGTCTGTACTGCCCTATAGTTTGTGCTTTTATTGTCATTAGCGTAGCCCCATTTTCTTTCACTGGCCGCCTTTAATTCGCTTGCCAGGTTTTTGAAAGAAGTACTACTTCTTATGAAATGCATTTCACACTGATGACGTCTTGTTTAAAGGTTCTTTTTTATCGTGTAAGACATAGAGTATATACTGTTTATCATAATATGAAAACAATTAAATTGCGTGGTTTATATATTTATGCATTGGTGTGTTAACCAAGCTATACCTGCGCTTTATAATACTGTCCGAAGTTGATGAAGCGAAACGTGAACCTGATCTTTGTTAACTGGGAAGTGTAGTGATTCAAACGCGCAACTTCACTTTCTTTCTTTGTATAGTTGATTGAGCACTACAGTCAATGTCCAATTTATAGAGCATTAGGTTAATCAGCTGAATTGCTATTATACTCATGATGTTTGGTATTATCGACTCACTATGATCACGTGATGGCTATTCACAAAATCGAATTGTGAATGATTGAACTCATATCTAATTGCGCCATTGAATTACAACCCAAATACTAAGTATTGATGTATTAATATCTTTATTGTTTAATTGTGAAGTTTTTTGATGGGCTGATATCATAACATTGAGGTTTGGGGCTCGAAACCCCACAGGGTCATGGGTACACGTAGCAAGAATTCCATAGACTAAAACGAAGAAGTTTTATAGTGAGTTTTTGTTTTCAGTAGGTCTTTAGTTGATGTCACCTCGCGCGCCAGTTACTTGTGTCCACAAAGTTTCAAGTTTCAACTACTAAATGAGAGGTAGTCAAGAGAAGAAGAGTTGGATGACCAGTAGGTAAGAATTAGATTCTTGGGAGTAGTTGTGTGTAGTCTTATCCATTGTACACTGCATAAAAGTTCTGCAGTGCATAACTCATACTTCTGTACTTGCACAGGCGGCAGGCAGGTAGATTAAGGACTTTATTTGAGCTGTTGAAATAAAAGTAGACAGAGTCATAAATTTAGCGATTAGGTTTTTCTTCTTTTGTTTTTTTTGAAATAATCCTACTCAAGTAAGAGTTACTGTTCAATATTTACCTCATTCCCTATTGACTTTATTCTGAATATAATATGTATTTTTCTTTTTTTTTTGAATTTTAATCTCAAGAACACAGATTTGACTATCAGACAAGTTGCTGATCGACTGAAGGTATTGAGGGAGTTGGTTGTCAAGACTGAAAATGAACTGTAAGTTTTAGGGTGAATATATAAGTTGATCAAAGTATTTGTAGTAACACATTGTAATAAGTATATAGATGAGTTCTCATTTTACCATCAGTGTTGCACTTCATCTCTCTGTGACTGATACAAGTGTTAGTTGTGATTGATAATCAAAAATAATCAAAGACAATTTAGCGAAGAAAATTTTCTTTATCGACGAAATCATCTTCAGAGACTGTACTAAAAACGTATAGTAATCCATTATTCAGTAATAGAGGGGGGGGGGTGACATAATTGACATAATTACTCAGAAATGGCTTTGAAAGTAAAAATAAAAGTTATAAATTACGTAATACTCAACAGCATAAGGGAAGAAAGCGTTGGAAATTTGATAAGGTTAAAATTATTATTGAGTGAGGAGAGAGGTAGTTGAGTGTCAATTTAACAAGTGTGAAGAGGGTGAGAAAATGTACAAAAGGAACATGTGAGAGTGATAATAGTGAATTAATTATTAAAGTAAAAGTAAACTAATCAATAAAAATAAAATTTCCAGGGAACTACTAATGAAGAGGTTAAGACCATGGTAAAATAAGAGACTGGACAAACTTTTTATGTCTACATGAAGGCAAGGCAAGGAACCCGGACACTGCCGAAGAAACTGCTATTCATGAACGTTGAATTGTAAAGGTGATACCACGGCTGAGCTTCTGAAGAACTGCTTATCCAGCTCACTGAGAAAAGCCTTCTTTTCGGCTGAGCTACGGCTCAATTTCCACAGCCGACAAATGATCAATGAATATGTAAAGGATAAACTGCCGCTTTGGGCCACTTCAGTGTGTGTTTACAAATTCACCTGCTCCTGTGGAGATAGTTGCATTGGCCGCACAAAGCGCACACTTTCCAAACCCATCTCTGAACACTGTCCGGCATGGATAGGAAAAGGACAATGCAAGGCAGTTAATAACTCAATTCTCGAGCACTTGGTGAATTCAAGTCACGCAACTCCACCATAGTCGTCTTTCAAAATTATCTACAAGGTGATGCCAAATAGTGCAAAGTGAATCAAGTTTCGGCATTTATGTATGGTGGGGGTGCTGGCAATTTGTCAATACAACCCCGAACTCTGTATACAGAAAAAGTTTGTCCAGTCTTTTATTCTACCTTGGTCTTAACCTCTTCATTAGTCGTTCCCTAGAAATTTTATTTTTATTGATTAGTTTACTTTTACTTTAATAATTAATTCACTATTATCACTCTCACATGTTCCTTTTATACATTTTCTCACCCTCTTCAAGCTTGTTAAATTGACACTCAACTATCTCTCTCCTCACTGAATAACAATTTTAACCTTACCAAATTTCCAACGCTTTCTTCCCTTATGCTGTTGAGTATTACGTAGTTTATAACTTTTATTTTTACGGTCAAAGCCATTTCTGAGTAGTTATATCAATTTTGTCACCCCCGTATTACTCAGTAATAGACTACTATACATATTCGATAAATATAAATACGGCTGTAAAGCCTCTAAAGATGAAATCGTTGATAAAGAAAATTTTCTTCTCTGACTTGTCTTTCATTATTTTTCCTCTTAGAGTTTATTCGTTTTTGATGTTAAGACAGAATAAAGGCCACCTGTTGAAAATTAAAAATTAAAAGTTGATGGTCCCCTGATTTTTTTCGTAAGACCGATGAAACTGTATATTACTGCGTATGTGTACTATGCATACAAACCTCTATTGAAATGATATCATAAACAAGAACAACTGCTAATCAATGAGTGTATTATGTATCATTTTTTACAGTCAATAAACTACCATATACATACCAAAGTATGACCCACGTTAAATAAATGTAAACTGTTTAATGGAGAACATGTGCATCTATCAGTTCACCTGATCTTGTGGAGCAAGGTACATTGACCGTATTCAGAGAATGCTTTCCAGCATGGTTTAAAAAGGGAGAGAGGAAAAGTGTGTGAGGCTCTATTATAGAACACTTGGTCGACTCCTGTCACTCTACCAACCCTGAAGTGGGTTAGATTAGAATCCGTTGGCACATCACAATTTGCTGAGTGAGGTCTGAGAAACAGTTCAACTGGGGGTGTGTGGCTTAAAACGTTATCAAATATGGCTAAGAATCGTAATGGTGAACATGTTGCAGTTCCTTCCTTTCTTCTTCTTTTTCTGAAAGTAACATAAAAATGATGAATAATGTTAACAAGTAGGCTTACTTACTTTCTAGATAACCTTCCCCTCTTTATTCTATCTCTATTCTCCTTATGTATGGTTTTATTATTTTGTTTGGCGCATCTCTTGGTGCCTATAATGTACGAAGTGTGTATTTTTAATAGGAATATTAATAAGTACCATAACTTAGTTTCCTAGATATCATAATTGAAGTTGGTTGATGTTAGAATATAAACATGCATTATCCTCAGGATAATTTCAGTTCCCTAGTTATTCCATTGTCTGCAAAATATACAAGTGCAAATTATATCATCTAATCGTCTGATATACCTCATGACTCTCTGCGGGGTTGTGTTTTTAAGTACTTTGCCTCTCACGAGATTCTGTTTTTGAGGAAGATGTACTTAAAGCTGTAATTCTTCTTCATTTCTATAGGACACTAAATGGCAGTGTAATACCAGGCATTTATACTTTTTGTGGTGTATAGAAGAAGCCTTGTGGTCTCTAAACTATAGTCTGTGGTGTATCCTTATCTAATTCATGTGTGACTGTATCTAGGTTACTTACGTGTAAATGATGACTTTGTAGAATTGCAGTGTTTAGTAATAAAGTGCTCAGAGGCCATCTGCAGGAAGTCATCGACCTAGGTTTTGTGCTTGTTGGCCCTCTTGTCAACAAAGCGTATCTACAATCTTGAAGGAACTCATGTCCCTCCTGAGATTTGAACCCGCTGCTGTCAGAGATGTTAGCTTGGTTGACTACATTGCAAACTTGACACCAAACCACATCATATCAAGGACTAGATGCATACCATTGGTTAATACTTAATGACCAATCAAAGAGTGTTTAGTGTTTAATTTTTTGAGAGTAAATGTTCGAATATATTTATTCCCTTTGTCTCTTGTTTTAAGTAGAGTTATGAATTAAAAACATGAAGTTTAAAAATTTACCCACAACTTTTAGAATATTTGGTCTGTGTTTTCCACTCTTTTTTGTTTCGACTGATATATTATCTAAGGTGTAAGATGCTAAAGCAACTGGACTTTTGATTGTATCACCTACATGTGAATAAATTAATTCACTTAGGTTATTCAAGTGTTGTTTTGTAGGGATTTGATTGGTTACAGGATTTCATCATGAGGTGACATTAGTTAGAGAACCATTGGAAAACCAGCTGGGAGTACTGCACAGCTGTTTCGTCAGACTAGTTTGCGACTCTTCAGCATTACGCACCCACCGCCTCGGTTCGAACCCAGGACCTTCTGGTTAAAAGGCGAGCTCGTATACCACTAAGCCACTGGGACCCGATCCAATGGCCCATGAATTCCAACTTCTGCCAATTCACGACAACACCAACACTTAAATATCAATGAGATATTCACTAGCGACTTGCCCTATTCAGGTAGGTAGTTACCTGGGGTTCTAGTGAGAAGTCGTGACCAGTAGGGTACAGCAGGTCGGGTATGAGGACAAATACTCTCCGAAGACATTGGCTAGGAGGCGCGCTGTGTCGTGAATTGGCAGAAGTTAGAATTCATGGGCCTTTGAATCGGGTCCCAGTGGCTTAGTGGTATACGAGCTCGCCTTTTAACCAGAAGGTCCTGGGTTCGAATCCAGGTGTGTGCGTAATGCTGAAGAGTCGCAAACTAGTCCGACGAAACAGCTGTCCAGTACTCCTAGCTGGTTTTCCAATGGTTGTCTAACTAATGTCACCTCATGATGAAATCCTATAACTTAGGTTATAGATTTAGTTTCACTGAGAATATAGAAATACAGCCTGAAATTTTCTTATCTACGATGTTTACATCACTAACCCAAAGATTCATTAACAGGCTAACATATGATGATTAAAAGTTGAGGTAATCATTATTATTATTATTTATTTTATTCCTTTACGTTCCCAGTGGAACATAGAGCTTGAAGCCCTAGAGCCTTGAAGTTTCGGTAGCAATAGTGTTTTTTTTATTTGTACAGGGTGGGTTTGCTAGTCTCACACCCAACCATCTCTCTTTGTCGGCCTTACTGCTGGCTCAACGAGGTTTAAGAGTGCTTCGACCGGCGGTTGAATCCCTGACCACATGAGGCGTAGTTGGAGAGCATTCTATTGCTAAGCCACTGACGCACAGGGTAATCATAGACAGTAATAATTATTATTCTGGACCATTTGCAGCGGTGGTTTTTTATTTTTACCATAAATTTGTATTTCAGTCCACCTGCTAAAGTAGTTTAGTCAGCTTATATCAGCCGGAACACATGTCTTTAAAATAATGTGCAAGATTTGTAACTCTGGTGAATATTTTTAGTGTTATTATATTCTTTGAGCTGGATGATTCAATTATGAAGCTGTCATCATTACCTTTCTGGACAGCATCTTCAGTGCTAACTAATTTCATGGATGAAGTAACTATCTTTCTCAATGAACTTAACCGTGATTAATTGTCCTAAAATATTTATATATATGTGATTATAGTCACGTGTATTTGTGTCGGTCTTCTTGTTGTCCTGATATTTGACCTTTTGTGATCGTGTGACTTTTTCCTTATCGATTGGTAAATTTAGTCTATCTGAACGTGCCTTTTGACTACAATTTGATCAGAGTATCACGCTTCGTGTTTACTCTATTTAGATTTCTTTCGTTTATTTAGAAGTTCGTAGCTGTCCACCTACATTGATATGAAGGAATGTGTTTTGTGTCTTCTGACTGCTAGTCTGGATACGGAAATGAAGGATACATCCTCTTCGACTACTATATTGTTTCCCAGTGTCAATATAGATTACCTTATGGATTACGTTGATTTTATCTTCTTTTGCTGTTGATATTTTGGTCTACATAGTACGTAAATGGACAATTGTGTTAGTGTAAGGTAGAAATATGTTTCCAAAAGTTTTAGTATTATAGAGAAATTTTCTTCAAGTATGTATAGTATGACAGTTTCTCTTATACTTTCTGGTAATGGTTTTGTGCTAGTAGCTTGATTTGAGAGTAGATTATATATGTAGATAGGGAAATTGGTCAGTCAGAACACGTGAAGTGTTATTTCTTTATATCTGATGCACGTCGACAACTAGGAAAATCAATTCTGCAGGGAGTATGTAAAAAATCACAATTAGAATAAATGCGAAGAATACCAGTAAATTCTTAGGAACCTGGTACTCTGATCGATTCGCAGTTGAGAAACCTTGGTATAGATCAAATTTTTCAGTCGATAAGGAATAAGTTACACGATTGAAAGACCAAAAGAATATCAATACACATGCAGGTGGGGAGATACTGTCCAGAAGGACAGTGAGAACTTTCACCATGCAGCTCATAGAACGCATTAACACCAAAATACATATTTTCTTTGAGTTCTGCCCCCATAAACGATCTGAGTGTGGGTAGACTTTGGTCTTCTCAAAATGATCTCATGTGGACACGCGTTCATAGCCTCTGCCAAGTAGGTCCTGTTCACTGCCTTTACGTGGCAGCGATGTTTCTTACAAAAGTGAAAGGACATTTGGCGATTACAACCGGATTGGTGGACATGCTGGTCTACATGGGGGGGGGGCTAGGAAGCTCTGATTCCAAACCTATGGTGTACATGGGCTCCAGAATCCGAAAGGATTGAATGGTGTATGGACTTGTGTTAATCACTGCCAACCGTAGGAACGTAGCTCCTGACTATGCTCTGCTCCACTGCCTTATGGTTCAGACTTAGAGCCAAAGATTTAAGAGGAGGCCCCTTAAGACGACCATCTGCTTCAGTCCGGGCGTCCGGATAGGATCTCAGTCGTCTCACCGAATGTTATATTTTGTGTGACGCATCTCTTTTGTTTGTTTGTGTTGTAGTTATAATTCTACCTTTAGTGAAGAGAAGTTACAAAGAATTTTTCGCGTCTCTATATATCTTTTTGTTGTGAGTAGTGACTGACTAATTTTTCAGAGTATGAATGCACAAAAATGCAACAGTTCAAGTTACCATACTTTATATAGAACAAATAAAGGTAGAGAAAATATGCCAAGAAACTGTAATAAATGAAGACTTATTGAAGAAAGAATTATTACATTATTATTATTATTTCATAGTTGTAAGAAATCACAAAGAGTGAATGCATCTGCACCATTGAGAATTTCGCACCACGCCACGGTTCTTAGAGTATCCGGAACCCCGATCAGACAGTCTATACTTCACTACGTGGCTCTAACCAATGGTCAACGACTGATACATGGTTTTGATTTGACCATCTATAACTCCTTTCCGACCTGATCCAGTATCAGCCATCTCCATCGGTACACTCTCACAACCTCATCGATTGATTTCACCTCCTTACATAACATTATCACCTGATATCAGTATTGCTCACCATATTATACAAATTAAGATGGAAGATAGAATGCAAACCTTCTTCAAGTCTCTCACTTACAAAATCTGTGTGTCAACCATGATAAAGGATAGAGCCAACTGCCGCTTAGTACATATGGTCCTTTGATCGAAAACCGGATATCATGTCTACGCCAGGGATGACGTAATTTGGGAGGTGCTACACAAACCCTTTGTCTTCGTGCTTAAGTCTCGTCAGCAATGAGGTCTAATGCAACTTCCCAAGTTCACCTGCTCCATTCCTTCTATCTTTAAGCTGGGAGTCGGTTCAGACCAGTCGTACAGCATCTTCTTACATGTGACAGGGGTGAATCGCGTGCTAATCATTCGGAGACTTCTGCTTAAGATATTCAGAAGACTGCATTTCGTCAGTGTCTACACCTAGAAGGAGAATATTCTCTGTTATGAGCAGCAAACTAGTTATGACAAAAACTCTCAATCCGAGCTTCTGGTATTTCAAAAGTGTTGTGTGTAACTGATGTGAAGTGAAATTCAAGTGCTTCATGCAGTAGTGGTACACTCGTCCTGGAAAAAAACTAATAAAAGTGGACTAGAAGAAATCAGATACAAAAGGTTCAGTTGGGATAATATGAAGTCGTTTTATTTTACCAGTTTTTGTCCAAAAGAATATAGTTTATGTATGTCAACAAGCTTACTAACACCTTTTGTAATTTCATCCATTCACTCTTCCAGTTCCCAATAATGTCGTGCATTTTCAGGTTAATTAATCAAAATGTCTGACTGTTTTTCTGTACATTGATATTAAAATTGCTTTAGGTTGTGTGCATCTAGAATTATACCATATTATTTTGCTCATTTTGTCTAAGAGTTGCTGCTTTGTACAGGTTTATCAAGGAAAAACGTGTAAAAACGTGAATCATTTTTACTTTCAATTACTTTCCACAGTATATGAAGTCATGAAACATTAATCACCCTAATGAAACTCTAAGACGTGGACTGTTTTAAGCTATCACTAATATTTATCAGTTATATTCCTCGCCATCACATTTCATTATCTCTCACTATTTCTAAATGTATTCGTGTCTTTACTTCTCAATTACTACTTGTGTTCAGAAATTTGCTATTGTTTCAAATACGATGAAACCTTTGAGTAGGATATCTTGTGATTTGGCGAAAGATAGGGTTGATAGAGTGCTTGAATTCAGACAAATTGGTAGAAAGCTTACGTATAGCTTATATGAACACACAATTACTTTATATGCAGCATTCGATTGTAATATTATATTCAAGTTTTGGTTTGCAGGGATTTGATGTGATTGGTTACAGGATTTCATCATGAACTGACATTGGTTAGAGAACCATTGGAAAACCAGCTGGGAGTACTGGATATCTGTTTCGTCAGCCTAGTTTGCGACTCTTCATCAGTGCACAACCGCCGCCAGGGTTCGAACGCAAGACTTTCCAGTTACAAGGCGAGCTCGTAGAGCATCAAGCCTCTGGGACCCGATTCAACGGCCAGTCCATGAATTCCAACTTTTGCCAATTCATGATACAGCGCAACCACTAGTGGATCCGGAAATCAATCAAATCCCTGCAAACCAACACTTGAATATCAATTTGATGCTCACTAGTGATTGGCCCTATTCAGGTAGGTAGTTACCTGAGTTCTAGTGGGAAGTCGTGACCAGTGGGGTATAGCAGTTTGGGTGTGAAGACAGATATTTGTTGATGACATTCGCTGGTGGTCGCGCTATATCGTGAATTGGCAGAAGTTGGGATTCATGGACTGGCCTTTGGATAGGGTCCCAGTGGCTTAATGGTCTACGAGCTCACCTTGTAACTGGAAGGTCCTGGGTTCGAACCCTGGCGGTGACTGCGTACTTCTGTAGAGTCCCAAACTAGGCTGACGAAACAGCTGTCTAGTACTCCCGGCTGGTTTTCCAATGGTCCTCTAACGGATGTCAGTTCATGGTGAAATCCTATAATATATAATTAGGATTTATTTTTTCGAGAATCACTCACTGTGTGATATGTCACTGATATACAAGGAGAACAATCTGGGTGTAAGATACAGTTTTTTTTATGACTGAATTGATTGTTAGGCGTATATTTCATTACTTACGATATTCTATACTTGTATTAATTGTATTCGTTAAAAGTTTTCATTTCTGTTTCTATTTCTGGTTTGAAAAAAAACAAAGGCGAAGTACTGATCGTATGATTGAATCTTGTCGGACAAATCCAAAGTTTGGAGATATGGATTGTTTAGTTCGAGCTGCTGCTATTTATACCAGACGTTTGAATTCCCTTAGGCAACATGTTAAGGAGCATGAAGTAGGTAGCTTTCTTTGCAAATTGATTGTACTACTTATATATATTATTATTAAATATATCGTGTTGTCTTTTAGATGAAATTAAATTACACACCTAGGCAGAGAAATTCCCATAGGGTTATTTACCAGTTAATATACTGGTGACACACTTTTATATTGAACTAGTGTTTGTGTGTGTGTTGCACTTAAAGTCTGATGCATAGATTATATTTTATTCAGAAGAATAAATCTAATTGAACAGATTAAGAGAAACAGTTAACAGTTTACTCAGAATACTGATTGTATTAAGCAGGCTGCGTTACGAATGTCCACTTTATTATTATTATTATTATTATACATCATCTAGAAAGTTTTTTAATTTGGAAAACAATATCAAGTCCTTAAACACTCTGATATTTGAGCACAAGTAGACTTAATGGCTTATTTGTTTAGGTCAAAGCTAATCGATTGATGCATGAAGAATAGAAAGTTTGAAACTTTTAGTTATTATTATTATTCCCTTGGTTTCCGAGTGGAACATAGGGCTTCAAGAACACATCTCCACTTTCTTCTATTTGATGTTGTCCTCTTCAGCTGGGTCCACGATTGCCCATAATCTCTCATCTCCTGCATGTCACCCCTGGACGACACACTCGTCGCTTCTCATTGGGATTCCACTCGAGGCTATACCTGGTGTGCGATATCATTCGATGGCCTCCTCAACGTGTGCCCGACTCATCTCCATTTTCTCCCACATATTTATATTTGCTTAGCAGTTGGCTCTTGGTTGGTTTATTGCCTTGGTATGTTGTAGTTAATTCTTTCTGGCCCGCCTTTTGATCTTCAGTAGCTATAATAGATGTCATACTAAACTTTTTTTGTAATGAGAATGGAAAGACAATTCTCCATCATATTATTATTATTCCCTTGAGTTCTGAGTGGAACATTGCGTTTCAGCAGCACATCTTCATTTCACACTCAGTTCTCTGCAGTCCTCTTTAGTCGACTCCACGATTGGCTGTAAGCCGTCATCTCTCCCTAGTGCTGCATCTTCCATGTGACACCCGGACTCCAAACTCGTCCTTTCCCATTTAGGTTCCACTTAAGGGCTCGCCTGGCTCTTGATATCATTCAATGGCCTCCTCACAGTGTATGTCCGATCCATCTCCATTTTCTCTGACATACTTATTGGGTAGTAGGTTCTTGGTGAGTTCGTTCTCAGAGTTCATTGTTGCCTAATCCTTTCTGACCATCTACCCTTCACTATAGAGTCAATGAAGACAGCTGTTGATAAAAGTCTGCAATGTGTTAGAAATGCTTTTCGTGACCCTCCAATTATCTGAAAAAGAACTCACTTGACATAAGTGTTGAAAATACGAATCTTGTTCTATATATATCGTGTGCGGCAGATTTCCACGCTGATTTCAGATTATTGAAAGTTTGTGTTTCCTTCTCAATCCTACCTTTGATGACATCCTCATTCGTGCTCCCTGTAATTGAAACGATGCTGTCTAGATAAGTGGAAGAAGTAGCTTCCTTCAAATTTCCCTTGTTTATAGTGATTATTGGTTGTTCCCTATTAGATACGTTTATTTGATATAACTAACATACAGTGATTCGGTATTAATAACTGAACGACGTTTCTTGCTCAACTCATTACAAGTATGAGCAGTAATAAATTGCTCTGGAAATGTCATCCACTTATTAATACTGTATCACTGTATGTTATATCAAATAATTATTATTTATTACTTTATTCCTTTACGTTCCCAGCGGAACATAGGTCTTCAGGTTAGAGATTTGAAGTTTCGGTAGCAGTGGTTCTATTTTTTTACGGGGTGAGGTTGCTAGCCTCACGCCCAGCCTTCCCTCTTTACCGGATTTTCTACTGACGTAGCGAGATTTAGGAATGCGTCGGCTGAGGATCGAACTTCGGACCACAGGCCTGGTCAACTTATCTGATATGAAATTATATTCTACCACAGTGCCTAAGTTTTACACTTACATTAATCGTTGCCTGTTGTTGTTGCTGTTGTTGGTTAGGTATCTTCATCACCTTTATCTTCTCTGTGTTCACTTGAAGTTCTGTCTCCCCTGTGAGCCTCTTCCGCCCAATTGTTAGTTTTTGCCTGTAGATTTTCGAGTTTGTGTGACATTAGACATAAATCATCCGTGGAGTGTAGATCTTCTACAGTTTTTTTGTCAGTTAAACGTATGCCCGTCTTCTCGCTCCCCACGGTCTGTTGCATGACCCAGTCCACCACAGTCAAGAACATCTTCAGAGAGAGAGAGCAGACAGCCTTATCTTACTCCTGTATTCATTTCAGAGGCTTCGGTGAGCTTTCCATTGCGAATTACGTGGCATGTATCACCGTCATATAAAGCTGTTGACTGTGGTTGATAAGGGTTTGGGGTACTCTGTAGTGAAGACTACTGGAGGTCCGTAAGGTGATTAGAGGATTCCTTGATTAAAACTCACCAAAAGTTAGATATCACGCCTTGCTGTTTTTCCAATTCATGTGTGAAGAAATATTTGGTAGGTAAGAACTAATTTCAAATGTCATTAGTAAATAAAACCTAGAAATATTTGAAGTAGAATGAGAAATCTATATTCAGTTTTACTTTCTCAAATTGATGAAATCGGAGGTAGTCAATTAATTCGAACTTATCAGGATAAACGTAATTGTTAGTTGTGTTTATAATTTTTACCCAACAGTTATCTGATAAAAGATTTAAAGTAATAAATGACACACGCAAAGTGGTACTGTTGCAACCCTGTGCAAATGACAATGGTCATTACTCTGTTTAGAGTTACTTTATGATGTAACATCAAGGTCACTGACTTTGTGGAGGTTCGTGTAGCCTTCACGTTGAGCAAGAGAACACCATGTTATTTCAAGATACTCGGCTCCTTTTGTGAAAACCGTGTTGACAAAATTGGATTAGGCCTGTCAAAAATGGGATGATATGAAAGTATTTGGACATCTCTGAAGCACTAATGGTTCAGGAGTTCAGACTGATTTTTCATATTCATATTCTGATTTGCAAGGAATTGATTTGATTGGTTACAAGATTTTGTCATAAGCTGACGTCGGTTAGGGAGCCATTGGAAAACCTGGGAGTACTGGACAACTATTTCGTCATAGTTTGGGACTTTTCACAGTACGCACCCGCTCCAGGGTTCGAACCCTTGACCTTTCGGCTGTAAGGCGAGCTCGTAGCCCATTAATCCAACGGGGTCCGATTCAGTGGTCAGTCCATGAATTCCACCTTCTGCCAATTCAAAATATAGCCCTACCACTAGCGAATGTCATGCTGGGGAGTATTTGTCCTCACACCCGACCTGCTACACCTTATATCTGAAAATTGTAGTTACAACGTTTGTTTTCTCTCTGACCAGCGTACTGTGTTGATAAGTCTGTTACTATGCCAGCGTGTTCGTTTTTATATTCTAAATACTTATTCGTTCTTAGTAACCTCCATTCGTTGCATTTAAATCCCTTGACCAGAAATCGTTTTCAAATGTATCAACCTTTTCTCTTCAATGTTTTGTTTGCTTGCTTCCGTCATCTTTATCTTTTCCTTATATCAAATAATTCCAGTCACAGTTATACTGTGTACAATTGTACTTACAAATTTACATGTAGTCTTATGTGAAATAAATCGATAAAGGATTTATCATAAAACTATGAGCGCAGATTACATAATTACTGACGGTAAATGTACACACTCATTTTTTCTACACATAATCTGTTTATTCAAATAGTCAGTGAAAATCCTAATGCATCTGGAGTTATACAAGAAGCTAAAAAAAACCAGTGTAGGCTGTTGGTGACATAACGCAAAATCATCATCCTTGCAATGTTATGGGTCTCCTGGTTTTACATACTACTATGCTTGTTGAGCTTTATTCCTAGCTGCTTTTGAGCTTGATCGATAAACGTCATTCATTTTGATATGGTTGTGTTCTCTGAGCTCGTTGATTTAATTGCGAGGCTTTCGTTGTCATTCTAGACATCTTCAGCGTAGGCTTTAATATAACGTGAACTTATTTGAATTCTGCATGAATGGTATAATTGTTGTGATTAGTTGTTAATTTATATTGATCATTTTTATTGATTTGGAATTTCAACTTTATTGTCATGTGATTTATTTTTTATTAGTTGGTAAATTTTATCTGTAGTAATGTGTTTGTTAATCTCTGATTCATGTGAGTGGTACCAGGCTTCTAGAAGTCCCATGACACTTTTGGTGTTTGCTCTCTCTCTCTCTAAAATTTCTACATTCTCCCAAAATGGTGTCAGTAGTTGTCTCTACACTTGATCGATATGAAAGAATACATATGTGATGTCTTCACACAGCAAATATATATATGCTTGGATTTGGATTTGAAGGCGACGTGCACTTTGACCGATGTATGGTTGATTGCAGTTTATACAATTTATTTTGTAAATTGCACAATATCGAATGAAGTGATTGTACTGGTTGGCTTGCGTGCTATATCTGCCTCGAGTAGTCTTAATATTCTAGTTGTTATTTCAGAGATATTTTTTCTATATATGTGGTAGGTAGGACGGGTTTTTTCTTGTGGTCTTTGAGGATGGTTTCTTGCTGGTATTTCGACTTGATTAGGGGATTTCATCATGAGCTGACATTGGTTAGAGAACCATTGGAAAACCTGGGAGTACTGAACAGCTGTTTCGTCAGCCTAGTTTGGGACTCTTCAGAAGTATGCACCCACCGCCAGGGTTCGAACCCAGGACCTTCTAGTTACAAGGCGAGCTCGCATACCATTAAGCCACTGGGACCCGATCCAATGGCCAGCCCATGAATTCCATCTTCTGCCAATTCACGATATAGCGCAACCGCTAGCCAATGTCTTCGGCGAGTATTTGTCCTCACACCCGATCTGCTGCACCCTACTGATCACAAACCAATACTTGAATTTCGATTTGAGTTTAGACATTTTTTTGATGAAATTGTATAGATATTTATTCTTCTTGAAGACAGTAGATATTCGTCTTTTATCCCCTTCAGCAGTGTGGAGTGCTACAGTGGTGTGTTTGAACTCTTTTATGCAATATTTACAGACAGTTTCTTTTGTGAACCAATTGGGTTATTGCTATTCTAGTTGAGTATTTGATCTGTGTTAATTCTAGACGTCTAAGGATGGAATTTCATGGTCTGATTCTTCTTTTCTCTCATGAATTTAATGTGTCTTCATCAAAGGTGTTGTTGATTAATAATGGGTATATTCCAAATGGTGCGTCGGTGGCATAGCGGTTAGGACGCTCGCTGACCATGCACATGGTCCGGGGTTCGATCCCCAACCGACGCACTCCTTTACCTCGCCAAGCCAGAAATAATACTGGTAAAGAGGAAAGGTTGGGCATGAAGCTAGCAACCCCATCCTGTAAAAATCAAACACTGCTACAGAAACTTCAAGACACTAACTTGAGGCCCTATGTTCCACTGGGAACGTGAAGGAAAAAAAATATTCCAAATGATTGTAATGAATTTGAAGGTAGGCAAAAGTATGCCTACACTGTTCCCAATGTGTCATCTACTCTAAACTATTTTTGACTTCACTCTGTGCCATGGGATTTTTAGACAGCCAAAAATCGAAATCAGAGAACACAATCAAAATCAATATCTCAGCCATCTGAGCTACTAATCTTCTTATCTGAGAACTTCATTCATTACAGAATTACAGCATCGTCAGGTGATTAATATTTAACTATGTGTATTCTCAGAGGGTTTAAAGATCTTTTTGTAGTTTCATTAGCATGCTGTTTGTTAAGTATCACACTTTTTTTAAAAGTATCTCTTCGTATACTTTAAACTAGTCAAATGATGAAAATAATAATAATAATTTCTATATTATTACTCTACAAGTTGTTACACTAAGGTTATTATATAATTAATCCTATTCACTTGTTTGTTTTTTCCAGATAAAATTCAATAATTTAGGTGGTGATACAGCCTATGCAAATGCTGAATCAATAGCTGAAAGGCTTAGTTCATGTGCTGTGATCACTACTAATACAAATACCTCGAGAAATGTAAATAATAAATCGTAAGTTATAAAACGCCTATTGGAATATTTGCATAGAGAGATTGATGGTATTTTCTCATTTACTTCAATTATTGCTTTGCTTTTCAGTATATAATGTATGTGTTTTGCAGCATTGTATATATAATACTTATTGTCAATACAATCAAATTTATGTTTAGGTTTTTGAAATCTTGCATTCAACAATGCGCTGCTTTCTTTGAGCTTCTTCGCCTTTCTACTGTTATGAGGTGGTGGTTGTTTTATATAAAATTAAGACAAATTATTTTGATTTATAACGGTTAAAGTTTTTATTTAGTAATTGTGTCATTAGAAGTTGATTGGTGGGATGGTGACTAGCAGTGGAATCCAGCCAGGATGCGCATTTCGTCCTATTTGGGACTCGTCTGCTGGATGTACCTGCATTCCGCAGTGAGTGATGATATTCCCACTGAGGCTCGAACCCAGTGTCCATGCAGGTACATCCAGATGACGGGGCTCAAATAGAACGAAATGCGCATCGTGAATTCCACTACTGGTCACCACCATCCACCAATCAGATTCTAATTACACGCCTGGACATCGTTGAAGCATCTGCACAAAAAGCTGACATGTCAACTTGAGACCGAGCACTTCGGTCCAATCAATCGACGGGAAAACCTAAAATTGAATTGGATAATTGTGTCAGTAGTTCAGTGGTAGTGGTAGAATGCTCGCCAGCCACGCACACACAGACGGGCCGGGTTCGACCGCTGGTCGACGATATACTCTTAAACCTCCTTGCCTAGCTTACTAGGTGATATTGAGTTCCTTGAAAAGAAAAAGGTCGCCGGGGGAGATGGCGTGAGGCCAACAAATCCACCCTGTGATAAAAGCACTTGCTGAAAATTCAGAGCTTGTAAGCCCTGTGTTCCACTCGGAAGACGCAACGAACGGGAAAAAAACCCACAAGGACTTGTGGTATTAATTTTTCCTACTTGCGCTCACATTTTTCAGCTTTGGTTTCCAGTATGATGTTAAAAAATAGCTTACATTAGGGATTATGAGGAATTTAGTTGTGCTATCTATACGATTGCATTGTCTCCAATACCTTCAGACGACACTGACTAGTAATAAGGAATTATTCATCCCTCAAGTAGTTTTTTTGAAAGGGATAGATTAACGGATTTGTGGGGGTTTAGACTAATATCAGTTGTTGGATTTATTCATGAACTAACATCAGTTAGAGAGATCATTGGAAACCAGGGGGGGAGCACTGGACAGTTGTTGTTCAATCCTATTTTGGGGCTCTTTGGCGGTTCGCACCCACGACCCTACCAGAGATCAACCCCCCGGGACCTTCAGGTTATGAGAATAAGCTCAGTGACCATTCAGCCGTTTGGGCTGGAATTCATTAGGCGGTAAATTCTAGTTTTGTCAACGTGTGATATAGCACTACCCTCAGCCAATCAATGCCTCCGATGTGTATTTACTTGATATGGTAGACCCGATTGGCTACGACTTCTCACTACGACTTCAGGACATCCGTCCAGTAGCCGTCGATGAACTGGCGATCGATATGTAGATTATGGAATTTATAGGAATTAGTTTCATTTGGTAGTCTTATTAGCCCTCATACAAAAAGTGTAGCCTAAAGCCTAGCTTAGTACATGAAAATTGTTTTGGTTAACTGAGCTGTAATAAAGCATATGACAAGAACATGCTTAGTGGAGGTATTCAAGTTAGTTTTCAGATGATAACTAACTAGTACTATAATTTCCCCCTTTATGTATTGGTGACTTGAACATGCTAAATGTTGTATTTGGCATAGTTATGGAGGCTGGTTTCTGTAATTCATTTTTTACTATTTAGCTAAAAATTTCTGTAACTAGGATACTTTATACTCTCTAGAAATCCTTAAGTGACCATATCTACCAATTTAAGGAGAAATGCATTTCGTCTTTCTAAAGGGGTGGTGGTAGATATACTCAGCTCATAGGATGTAAGATATGGTAATCGCAATGCTCATTCAAGAGTAAAACCGTTGTCAAACACCATATGATCAATAACCACCAGAAGTCTATATGATTAATGACATTTTTCGCTATTCGCGGTAGGTTAATACTTTTCCTCACTCCAACCGTAAACTTCTCCCACCTATATGGTGGTTGAGTGAGTAAACTTTGTACTAAAATGCACAAGTTTGCTACTTTCCTTTGGAAATTAGTTTTACCATAATCTAGAATTCAATATAGTGTTCTCTGAGCTGGTTGGTTCAGTTGCGGAGCTTTCGTCATCCTTCTGGACAACAGCTTCAGCGCAATATTTAGCCTAAAGTGAAATGATTTAAATTTCTTCATGAGTGATATTATTGCGTCTCCTGGTAACTATCTTTACATATGTACTGACCATTTTCTATTGACTTGGATTTCAAACTTTCTGGTCGCCTGATATACTTTTGATTAGTTGGTATATTTCGTCTATATTAACGTTTAAAACACAAAGCTCCCAACTGACCAACCAGCTCAGAGAAATATTAATTGCAAGTCTAGAATTTATTTCGCTTAATTATGCGTTTCGAATTAAAAATACATCTAACCTAAATAACGGTCTCAGGTTACATTCATTTTACGCATATCCCGACCACCCAAAATTCAAAAAATTTAGACAAGACAACCGAAAGCATTGGATTTGCCGACCCTTTGATTCGTGAACAATAATAGTCACAGAAAAACACATTATTCATCGCAATTTTCATACGATTTTGAGCATTTCAGTTCTAGTTTAAGAATAAATTCTTGAAACAGAAACCTTTCCTTGAACAGTTGCATTGAGAATTAAGTTTTAATGTTTGTCACAACTTGCCTTTTATTCACTTTTCAAGAGTTGATTTGTTTTTCAAGTTTGACCACTAGGGAGTACTGGACAGCTGTTTCGTCCTGGTTTGGGACTCATCATCAGTACACACCCACTGCGTACATTTCCCAAAGAACTTCAAGTGTAGTGACCACTGTCTTCTTTGATTTGTCCCTTCCGAATGTTAATTTGTTTATGATGAGCATTGTTTCTGATGGTTGTGTGGGCATGTCTATCAATTACCCGGGGGTGATACAAATGCGACGATGTGAAAGACTTCGTGGTGGATGTAGTGTTCCCCTTGTTTGGCATTTTTGTAATTTTCTTGTTAAAAAGAGGAATATCAACAGTTGGCTTAATCGGGGTACATCAGTCTGGATTTTTAGTCACAATGACTGCAATTGACGTAGAAACCCGGTTAAAGTAGTATAGAAAATCATCTCTCTATTACTTTTAGGTTATCAAGAATTTAGGTTGAATTCTGCTGACTTATTAGAGCTTTTATGCTGAAAAGAAGTTACTGGTTATGGATGTGAAAATGTGGAATGTAAACCCATCGAGGTTATGGAGTTGTACTGATTGAGATGACTAAAACATTTGCTTCAAGCCAGTGCTTTTCTCATCGAGAAATGTTATATGGCATACGATATGGCTGGAAAAGAGTTAGGGATGGTCAGTTCAAATTATTGCATCAGTCCATGGAGTCTTCGACAGTTGGTTTGAATCACGTAGGGAAGTACACTTTCCTGCCTAGCTGGGGTTCTCGAGACGCTCAGAATCAATGGTTGGAGAGTGTTGGTAACTTGGCGCGAAATCTTTCTCAATGAGGGGGGGGGGGCAGTGAATGCATTCACTCTCTGTGAACTCCCAGGTCCATTAAATTCTCATTACTTTCCAATGTACTTATTGTTTCCCACTTACCTATTAGTTCATTGTAGTCCCCTAGTGATTTTTCCTCTACATCTGTGTGCTACACGGAGTGTGACAGCTTGAACTACTGCACTTGTTTGTGGAAAGTTCTGCATCAGTCAGTCGACTTTGTGCTAATGTTTGTAATTTAGTTCGTTGAGATTATAAAAGTGCTATTAACGATCTTAACTGCCCGTTTAATCATATGTAAAATGGCTCTCAATAGAAAATATGATGTCTGTGTTATTTACTTGATCGTGCATATTGCTCTTTATTTGTAAATCGAAATGTTTTTTTCTTCCAAATCTTAATTATTTCAGATTCGACGATGATGATGATAGCGATCATTCATTTGATTCAGATCAGGAAGATGCTAATGGTAATAATAATAATCATAAAGATGATCCGACTACAAACAGCAATTCAGATATACATTCAGGAAATCGATATGTAGGCTATGCTTCTGCTCTATATGAATATGAAGGTAAGTGTTACTAAGGTCCCCTGTTGTTATTACATTCTCTCTTTCTTCTGTTTTGTTAAATGTTAATAGAATTCACCGTGTATTGATTGATATGTTGTAAGAGTTAAATGATTATTTTTGATTGGACACTAGTCAGTAACTAGTGTAATGTGTCTAGTCCTATCTTTGGTGCAGACTGAATTCTATCAGTCAAGCTTGCAATGTGACCACCATGCTAGGTGGTTCACCATCCCGGTGCACTGTGAATTGTTGGTATTAGATGGTTGGAGGCAATCGGCTGAGATAGAATTCAGTCTGTACCGAAGATAGGACTAGACACATTACACTAGTTACTGACTAGTGTCCAATCAAAAATATCCGATACAGTCCTACAGGAGGTCAATCGCGAGCCTGAATAGCTCAGTGGTAACGTTTCTGACTGCAGCACTGAATGACGCGGGTGTGAATCTCCGAAGGGACATGATTTCCTTCGAAGTTGTAGATACGCCTAGTCGACTGATGAGTGCCAACTAGAACGAAACCTGCCGATTGCCTCCAACCATCTGATACCAACAGTTAAATGATTAGTTGTGAATGATCTTTAAGTAATTCTGTAAGCTATTTAAAGCTTACTGTTGTTTCTTTTTTGTTGGTTGAGATGAATTTAGAGGGTAGGCAAAAGTGTATTCCCATATTCTCCTCAATGTAATCTACTCTAAGCTATTGTGACTTCACTTCTCCCATGTGATTTAGAAAACCAAAACTTGAATCAAAAAGGATTGCCAATAGCTATATCATTATTTTGTGAGATATTGTTGTTTTTGTTTTGTTTATATTTTTCTTTCGGTAAATAATGATTTAAACAACTTATTGAAAGTGTTTAGTATTCAGCTGAAAGGGAAGTTATTCAGCATTAAGCACATTCCAGAATGTTTACACGTATACAAACTATGACTCAGGCAATAACTGAGATGACCTGACTGCGCATATCCCTTACAAAACAAGAAGGAGGCGTATTTCGCACTAACATATGGACATAAAAGTTAACGAGAAGTAAGAATGAATGAGAAATGGAAATGATTTGATGATACTGTGATTTTTATGAAGAATTAATTGATTTTGAGGATAACTAAGCTTCATAGAGTTATTCATTATTATATTTCGTTAGCCTCCGGCAGAATTGGATTCGCATAGAGTAGGGAGGGATTATGCATTGTTGGGGAGGTGTAACCTGAAAAGACAGCTAGATATCCAGAAATGTATGAAGAGCCATAGAAAGAAACAAGATTATTAATGAAAATGACAAAAGTAATATAGAATTTAAAGCCTCTGTGGTACTGCTGCCATATAGAGAAGGAACGTCAGAGGCCTTACGTAGGATTCTCAATAAAGCAGGAATTAGGATGGCATTTGAACCAACCAACCAACTCTTTCAGAGATAAACTTTGTCGGCTTAATTATCGAATAGATCCAATTAGGAAAAATAATATAATTTACCAAATACCATGTAATGACTGTGAGGTCAGTTACATAGGTCGAACTAGTAGATCAGGGTCAACTAGATTACTGGGACATAAAAATCTAGCTAGACCTAGAATAATTGACCCTGCTAAGTTAAGTAACCTGGAAGAAAGCTCAGCCATTGCACTGCATTCACCTGCGTGTAATTACACAATAGGGTGGGACAGGGTAAGAGTATTAAGAAGCAATATAGTTAGATGGAGAGAGAGGTTGATCACTGAAGCTTTGTTTATCGATTCAACACCGCACACGTGCTATCGGAATGACGCAATGCCTATACCGGAGATATGTAAAGTGACAAGAAACAACAAAGGGGAGTTGGATGGGTAGGCAGAAAGAGAGAAAATATGTATAAGACAAACTATGGTGTGTGACTAAATTGATGTGATCTGGGTTGTTTCTATGGCTCTCATCGTTGTTTGTGGACGCAGAGTGAAGTGAAGATGGCTCACTAGCCTGAAGAATAGTTCTAGCTGTAGTAGAGAAGAAAGATGAGGAAGGTGATGTGAGTAGGGGAGAGTGATGCTCAAGTAGGCTTCGTGTGCTTTTGGAAGTGTGTGGGCGGTTGTTACTTCCCGGCTGCCCACACCGTGGAAGTTGGTTGAGTCTTCGGGTACCTGAAATAAAGAAAAGGTTAGTGTTGCGTGACCGCAGAGCCCAGGGGACAACTGCTTGAGGCCGGTCACACGCGGCCTGTTTTTGTTTGTTTCTTCTTGTTTGGTGTGTCTCAGTAGCATATTTATCACTTCTGCCTGTGATACGGCAGCAGGAAGCGCCGGGCCCCGACCGATCCAATGAAACTGTTTTGTTCTTCCTTATTACTATTCCTTTGTCTCACACCTTTGTTTACTGTCTATATTATGCATTTCTTCTACTTTCTTCTCTTGCTTTGTGTGCTACATGGAGTGTAGCGACTTGAACTGCCGCACATATGTGCAAAGTTCTATGTCGAAAACCGACCGATCGACCGAAATTGATGTGATTATGAGCGGCAATAATTTATGCTCGAAACCTTTTCATCCAATTGTTAATACTCTATCACTGTGTGATAATTAAAATAAACTTATCTAATATGGAATTACATTCTACCATAGTGCCCAAGTTTTGCACTTACCTCTTAGTTTATCATTGGTTTTTCACTTGATTCAATTTTTATGATGATGAAAACTTCATATTAGGTAAGTTTATTTGATTTGTCCCACAATGATACAGCTATTAAGTTGTTATTAATCCTGTGTCATTGTGTGTTAAATCCAATAAATTTATCTAATGAGGAATTGTATTCTACCACTGCCCAAATTCTACATTTATCGTGGAAACTATCTGAAAGTGGTTTTCGTAGAGCAACAGTAACAGCTATCGCTTGCAAAATTGTCGGGTATGATAACTTAGATACTAGAGCAGTTTTTCGAACTCATGGGAAGACGGATCTGGGTTGGAATCGTTTAGTCAAATTAGTCCCTCATGTCACGCAACCAACAAGTTATCGGAAGAAGCAGCGAAAACAGGACTTCAGGGGAGCATAGAGAAGAATACAGAAGTGATAAAGATAACTAAACTAACTGACAACAGCAACAGTCACTGTCACCAGGGGAAATTTGAAGGAAGTCACCTCTCTCTCTCACTTATCTAGACAGTATCATTTCAACTACAGACTGAACGGATGAAGATGTCGAAGACAGGATTGGAGAGGTAAAAAAGACTTTAATTACTCTGAAACCAGTATGAAAATCTACTGCATTCAGAATAACGAAGAATCGGATTTCCAACACAAATGTGAAGTCAATTCTTGTTTATGATTCAGGGACTTGGTGTATCACCAAAGACTTTTATCAACAGCTGCGTTCGCTGCCTCCATACTGACTGAAGGTCAGATAGTCAGAAAGGATTAGGCAACAAGGAACTCTGAGAACAAACTCACCAAGAAACTATTACCCGATAAATATGTCAGAGAAAGTGGAGATGGATCGGTCACACGTTGAGACCGCTAAATGACATTGCACACCAGGCAGGTCCTCGAAGGTGAATACGAATGGGAAACGACGAGTAGGGTGTTGGCGTGACGGTGACGTGGAGGAGTTCGTGTGAGGAGGATATGAAAGCTTGTGGACAATCGTGGAGCCACCTTAAAAGAACTGTGGAGAACCTAGTGAAATAGAGTTATGTTGTTGAAGCCCTATGCCCTACCCGTAACCTAGGGAAATAATATTAATAATTACTCAACATTCTTTTGTACACTATAATTATAAAATGAGTACTTAACATTTTCAGACATTTGTACAGCTGTATTTTGTCAGCGTCCTTCATGTACTGTGCAGCTGTTAAAATGTCTTTAGATTGCTCTGAGGACACAAAGAAAGTGAATTACTTTGGTTACTATATTCATGATAAGCACTTCTGTAAATGTAGAACACGAAAGACTTAGTAAAGGAGTGTGTATTTACAAATCATGTACACCTTATCTTCAACGCACCATTTGCACAGATTATCTTCCGTGTTGTGCCCTACTTCTGTCCTTCAAATTGTTTTTCTCTGTGTTCCTTTCACGTCTCCCATGTTTTGCTGCAACGCTGGTTTGTTTGCTCTCTTTGACTTCAAATCTATCTCTCCACTATTTGATATTTTTATTCCGATGAACATCTGTTTATATACTACTGATAAATCTTATCAGTAGCGCACACCACACTTCAACAACAGTCATAATTTTTTTCATTCTTAGCGTTCCGAATAGAACATATGTTTTCCCGGGTTACTTAAGAAAGACTTTGTTATACTGCGAAGGGCACTAAAAGCCTTCAGTAGGGCGAGTGGGTTGTTGCTAAACCAACTTGTTAATACTATTATGAACAGACACATGAACTCCTGCAAGAAATTAGCAAATATAATCTTGTCAGACTCTGAGCGTCCTCTTAATACACAACTCTCTCCTTACATCTCATCAAGTAGAACTAGAAGCAGCTGTAGAAGACTGTATGCTCGAACGACTAAGTACAAAAACTCTACAATACCTTATTTAGCACATATTTTATGTGATGAGAAAAGTGTAAGTCAGGAAATTACCAACTTACTGTGGAACTCTGAGTAAACGACCCCTCTTCTCTGGGTTTATTATCAACTAGTAAACTAGGCCGAGAGTCAAAACCAGCCGACATGCGTAATTTGGAGAGCATTGTACTTGTCAATCACCGACGCACTACAACAGACATAGTGTCTATCTGAATTTTTACGCGAGAAGTTATTCACTGACCAGTCAAACAGTACTATGAGTGCTGATATATCTCTTCCTCCTTAATTATATCCAGTAACAAATGCTTTCTTAAACCAGTGTGTTAAATAAGTCTTAGAAAACATTGGATAAATAATCTCAATAACTTTTATTTTAATTATCATTAATACTATAACGACAGAAGACAAGGGCCAGGCAACAGATAGTTTATTGAGTAAATCAAGAGATTTTTATAGATTTTTATGTACGTTATTGTCAGTGGAGAAGCAACGTCTTCTGATTGGTTGTCTTCTTGCTAAAAGTTCTATACTGTTTGTGGCTGTTTCTCAGAAAGTTAAGCCATATATCTGCGAATCGTATTTGCACACATTAAGTCTGCTGTGATTGGTTGGTGAATTCCTCAAGGCTAAGCTTTGATATTGTTCTTTTTCTCATGCTGTCTACAATTTTTGGCTTGCAGCCAGCTCTCACCACATTACTAAATGTTCTAACCTTTCTTGTAACCTTTTTTTAACCTTTCTTCCAGGTGATGGGAGTACTTATTTAGCAACAAAACCAGGAGAATTGTATTATGTCGTTAGTGTTGACTCGAATAATTCTGGTTGGACAGCTGTAGTATCTGAAGATGGTACACGTCAAGGTTTTGTTCCAACTGGTTATATTAATTTAACATTGTATTGATGAAAAGACAGTTCTGTCTTCATCTCTCTCTTCAGTTGGTTATTGTTCATATTATGATGAGAGTAGTTCATTTCCCCTAATTATTAACCTAGTGATTATGCAATCGTTTTGTTTATTTTTCTTCCTTTTTTTCTTTACACATATTAATATTAACAAAAGTATATCATGATTTGTACATTTATTCAACTAAATTTATTCTCACAATATTGTAATCCCTACTATTATCATTATTATTATCATCATCATTATTTATGACGCCTAATGTCATCATCATTCGTATGTTTTAGTTAAGAAAGACGTTGACTGACTATGCTGCAAAGTAGAAGATTTATTTCTATTCAACTGCTACACAATTTATATAGCTCCAAATTTTTTTTGTTTGTTTATGTTTTTCACATCCTCACTTTTACCACTTTTCTTTTTCTGTTCAGTACTTTCTTTCACTTTTCTTTTTCACACACACTAACACGCAAAATTATGTTTTCGTTTTCAACCATACAAATAATCATGATGCAATATTGATTACTAGATTATTTTTTCTTGTAAGAGACCTGTTTCTCCAAGTTCTTCTTAGTGCCTTACACATGTATATTCAGGTATTCAGGTATGCCGTATTCTCTACATATTAGCTAGTGAAACTTTTCTGTTTACCTTCTAAAGGAAGTTTATACATTATAGTATAATTTAATGATTATTGTTTAATAATCCTTTATTGACCACATTTTTCATATATGATAATAATTTTTTCAGTCTGAAGCAATCTAGTTATTGGTTATTGATTATGTAGTTCTTTATATATCTCCCTCTTAATGATGACTAAGGATATGTACTTTTTCGACTTCGCCAGTGTTCACATATCCCTTTGTTTGGTCCTTTGTACGTATGTATGTGTGTAGGTATGTGCGTGCGTGTGTTTGTGTGTGTGTGTGGCAGTACGCATTCCTATAGATCATCAATCATATTTGTCAACCACCAGAACATAATAGACGATAATATTGGCATGGTTTGTGTGATTAGCGATTTTCAAATGTCTATTCTGATCCCTTCTCTCGCATAGACACGACGACAACACGCTTATCCACACAAAAACACTCATCATACACAGAAATATAAATATTGTTCATCTGTTCAGCCATTTTTCTTGCTTATTACCACTAGAAGACGTATAACTGTCTATCTCCGGCGCTTGCATCTCTTTTCACAACACTGCTGAAGCCTATTTTCCACTCCATACATACCTCAGTTTGATTTCATTTTTATTACTCTATTATAAAAGTTTATTATTTCACCAAAATATTGATAAAGAATTTATACAAGTATAATATACCTACCTACACCTGCACAATTGTATTTATGTGTGCGTAATTTGTTATTCTGAAGATTTTTTTTCCTCTCCTCTCCTGCTTTTGTTTTCTTTTTGTTTTCGTTTTTTTTAACAAAATTAATATATACTACTAACAACAGGGCATGAAAAGTGTGTGTGTGTGTGGGCGTCGTATGTCTTTTGATTTGATGATTTAGAAGGATTGATGTTGTTGTATATTTGACGGTTTTAAGAGCGCGAAAAGACTTTGCTTCCTCTTTTTCAGTGTGTCAAAATGTCACTTCTGGTGTTCAGTGGAAGAGCGGTAGTAAATTTGTCTAGAGTTAGTGTCAGTAGTGATCTAGACGAGTTATGTAAGTGGGTGGAGTTTTAGTAGAAGGTGGACATAGAAAGAGATGACAGTTGATGGAGAGATATTCACTAATTTTGTGATCAAATTGGAAATAATTCTACCGTACAATACTTGTGGAATAGATTATACTACGTACAGCTTACAAATAATCGATAAAAAGGAACACCACATATTACTATTTATCTATTTCACCGGTATTTCTATACGCTTCGTTGGACGTGATTGTTGAGGCAATATATTCACTCTGTTTCACTTGTTGAGATTAGCTCTATGAACCTAGATGTAAAAATAATATATTTTAGTAATTCTTACGGCTTAATTCGGGTGTAATGAGTTGGTAACCAAGTAGTTTTTGTTTTGATGTTTGCAGCCAGGTAGAATTGTAGCTTGTGCTACTGATAAGATTTATCAGTAGTATATAAGGAGACGTTCGTCGGAATAAAAATATCAATTAGCGGAGAGATAGATTTGACGTGAAAGGTAACAAATGATTCAGTGTTGTAGCAAAACATGGGAGACACTAAATAAAGACAAAGAAATGCAGTACGAAGGGCAGAAGTAACACAACATGGAAGATTTGTGTAAATGACTATTTAAAGCTATGGTGTACATAATTTGGCTATATAGAAATGCCAAGTGGCAAATAAACATACCTTTACTGAGTCTCTTGTCTTCTGCCGTTACAGTATTACAAAATCTCACCCAGTAGATGCAGTTTATGTTTTTCTAGTGTGAGTTTTCTCTGAGTTGCATATACTACTGTGACCTCTTCAAGTGATATAAGAAGATTCTGAAATCCATCAAGATTAACACTGTATGATAAAAGTATTACATAATAGAATTGTTTTAAGGTTAATTTGATGATGAGAAACAATAAATCTAACTGTCTTCCATGTAACAGAATTTATCCTGGGATATACGTTTTATTCTAAATGGATGCCTCACTAGCGTCTACCATTTAGCTATCCTACTTTAGATGATAAGTTTTATCCACTTGTGAAAACGTCTCATTACCTACTACTATGTCAAAACAGTTCCTCGTCAAGGCTTCCAGACAATTATGTATCACATTCAGCTTTCAAATCTCTTTCTTATTTGAAACTATAGAATATAATTTATGCCACTTACGTACAATTATTTGTGCGTTGGTGGAGCAGCGGTAGAATGCTCACCAACCACGCGGGTGGTCCAGGGTTCGATCCCCGGCCGACTCACTCCTGAACCTCGCTAAACCAGTAATAAGACTGGCAAAGAGGGAAGGTTGGGCATGGGGCTAGCAATCTCAACCCGTAGAAAAATTGAATACAATTGCCACTGAAACTTCAGTGTTCTAGCTTGAAGCTCTATGTTCCACTGGGAACGTAAAAGAATAAATAATAATAATACGTATAGTTATTGTTATCATACGCTATAGTACTATTATTGTTACTTCCTTGGTATCTTAGTGGAACACAGGAATTCAACAGCACGACTCCATCTTATCATGTTCTCTGCAGTCCTTTGTAGCTGGCTCCACGATTGTCTACAAGCTCTCATCTCTTCTCCACATGATCTGTTCTGTGTCACCGTCGGATGTCCAACTCGTTATTCCCCATTCGGGTTCCACTCGAGGGTTTACCTGGTGCTCAGTATCACTCAGCGATTGAGCGTGTATCTGATTCATCTCTATTTTCTTCGGTATATTTGTGGGTTGGTTGGCTCGTTCCCAGAGTTTATTGTCGATAATTCTTTCTGGTCTACCTCAAACCATCCGTAAGGAGGCAGCGAAGGCAACTGTTGACAAAAGTTTCAAGTTTGTTCGAAATGCTTTTGGTGGTGTACCAAGTCTCTTGACCACATAGAGTAACTGATTTAACACTGTGAAGGTTGAAAATCCGAATCTTGTTCTTTATGCTGAGTGAAGGAGATTTCTAAACTGATTTCAGATTAATGAAGGTCTGCCTTGCCTTTTCGATCCTAGTCTTGACATTCTCATTCTCTTCATCGTCTTTAATTGAAGCGGTGCTTCCTAGATAAGTGAAGGAAGTGACTTAGTTCAAATTTATTCTGTTGATAGTGACTAGTTGTTGTTATTGTTGTTGTTGGTTGGTTCTTTTCATCACTTCCGTCTTCTCTAAGTACACTTGAAGTCCTGTTTTCGTTGCTTCTTATGCCCAGTCATTTTTTAATTCCGTTTTAGAACCATCAGAGTAACGTCAATGACATAGAAGTCAAATTGTTATTGTATGCCAGTAACAACATATTTATGCCGTTACAGTTTACACCGTCTCTGGCGTAGACGTGATATCCGGCTGTCTATCGACCAAAGGGCGGGTGTGCTGCTCAGCAGTCCACGCCGTCCTCCTTTATGGCCGTGAAACCTGGCCATTGAGAGTGGAAGACATGAAAAGGCCGGCTAGCTGTCTTTGATCATAGTTGCCTGCGTTCTATCTCCCGTGTCAAGTGGTATAATAGGGTGAGCAATATTGAGGTTAGGTGTCAGTCGAGTGCTAGGTAAGGAGGGCAAATCAATCAACGAGTCTGTGAAGCTACATAGACTGAGATGGTTAGGACGTGTGTTGTGCAAGCCTAGCCATCGCCTCCCTCGACCGACGGACAATGTTAGCTGACATAGAGTCAGATTGGAAAAGAACCAGTGGTAGTCAACCCAAAATATGGCTTCATCAGTCAATGCAACCCAAAACAGTTAGTTTAGGCCAGTCATGTAGGGAGGTGTGGACTTCCTGACTGGTCGGGGTCCTTGAGACGGTAAACACCAATGGCTAGATACAATTGGTGACATGGCTCGAAATCGTTCTCAATGGCTGGTGCAGATGCATCCACTCCTTATGACTTATAATTTCTAATAAATCTAAATTGTTCTTCGATATTACTATTCTTTTTGCCTCATATCTCTGTTTAATGTCTCTATTTTGCATTTCTTTTTCTAACTTCTCTTGCTTTGTGTGTGGCTACTCGAACTGCTACACATTGGTGCAAAGTTCTATGTTGAAACCAGTCAGTAAGTCACAGGAGATGAAAATCCTTTCAGTGTCTTGTTACAATTGCTGTTTAACCTATCTGTTGATCATTTTTGTCGTTGTTTCTATTGATAATTTGATATTCATAGCCCTTTCTGTTCATTCAGATTCGGTACGAGACCTAACTTAACTGTACATTCGCAACCATTATATCCTATTTTTCATTGTAGATTGTTTTAGCATCCTATTCTACGGGATTTTATGGCGTAAACACAATTTTTGTGTTAAAATCACACAGTGATACAGTACAACTTATTGCTCACAATCACATGATATGATTATAAGCAATAAATTGTGCTGATAACGTCATCAGTAAATAATACTGTATAACTTTAGAAAACAAATTTATTCTATAATGGAATTATACTCTGTCACAGTACCTAAGTTCTATTCGCATATCAACACAATTTTCTTGTGATTTGTATACTCATCAAAAATCCCTAACCTGCTATTAGAAATTGACTCAGGTATGCTGTAAAGTTGATTGAATTTAAAAATGATTTGTATTGGTGCAAAGCGCCGGTAACCTCTAGTCACAATCTTGTTCTCTTTTTCTGTAATGGTGTCATTAAAGTCTGGTGTGGCTAGAATCACGTGGATCTGTGGTCATATGTTAATAGAAATCAGCCTTTTTAGTACATAGATATTTGCTCAAAAGCCTTCGCTGTTGCACTTTTGAATTTTCTGCATAAACTGATTAGCTGATATAGGTATTTAGAAAATCAATGATTTATATTGATTCTTCAGTTATACACTTTAAATCCAGTTAAATACCACTTACTCTTGATTACTCATGTGATGATTACTATTTATTCAACATGTAAATGTGTAAATCATATGTCACGAGGTTACTCAATCAATAAGATTCTTTGTTCTCCTTTTCTTTATTTCTTATGATGCATGTTTTCTTTGATGTATTCAGTAAACCTGCTATATGGTTTGACACATCAGGAGACTTCCTGGTTAGGGTCCTTGGGGTGGTAAGAACCATTGATAGCTGGAGACAGTTGGTGATATGGCTCAAAATCGTCCTCGATGGCTCAGATGCATTCACTCTTTGTGATTTATTACACCTAATAAAACTATATTGTTCTTCGATATTACTATTCTTTTTCCCTCACACTTCTTTTTATTATCTCTTTATTTTGTTCTCTTGTTTTGTGTGCTACATGGAGTGTGATAACTAGAACAGCTGCACATTTGTGCAAAGTTCTATGTTGAAACCATTCAGTCATCTGACACATGCGCACTTCAGTTTTGTATTTTGGAATAGATTTTGTTGATCATGGGATGTCAAATGAAGCCCTTAGTGTAAACGTATGCTAAGGTGGATGTGTACAACGACTGTCTAAGTCAGTAGACGCAAAAGGCGTAATTGAACTGTTAGTTTTTATTGCATAGTATGAAAAGAACGAAGTGTCTACGCTATAGTTTTATTATTATTCTCTTGGATTCCGAATGGATCATCAGGCTTTAAAAGCACACTTCTACTTCATTCTGCTTTCCAAAGTCTTTTTAGCTGGCTGCCCACGACTATCCGAAAAGCTTTCCTTTCCTCTTCACACGACCTTACCCATGTCACCCTTAGACGCTCAGCTCATCATTTCCCACTCAAGTTTTCTTTGAGGCCATAGCGCGTAATGTTATTCATCGGTCTCGTCAGCGTGCATTCAATCTACCACAATTTCCTTCTGTAGATTTATTTGACCATAAGTTTTTGGCTGGTACGTTGCCAGAGTTCTCCATTCCTAAGTAGCTGACCTTTGGCGGCGTCGAGCGAAGACACCTTTCGATGAAAGTCTGCGGAAATCTGTTGGAAATGCTTCTGGTGACATGTTCGCCAAGTCCCTGAATCAAATTGAATCACCAACTTGACACTGGTGTTGAAAATTCGGATGTTGTTGTTCATACTGACTGCATCAGATTTCCTCACTTATTTCGGGGCATTTGAGGTCTGTGTGGCTTTTCCTATTGTACATACCGCCTGTAGTTGTAATGATGCTGCCTTGAT